GCGCATAAGTATATGTTTCGAGAACACTCCCTTGAAGTTGCGAAAACGGTGTAAAGCTTGTGAAGCGTATGCATAGATGTTTATCCTATTTTCTCGTCTTCTAAAATTATCAAATTTGTAGAGAAAAAAAAAATCCAACGTTTTTGCATACAGATGTATGGCGCAGGAAGGGATGGGTGTTTTTTTTAAAACCCAATGGGTACGTACATTTTTCTGAGCGCAAAATAGTAGGGGAATCCGCCGAAGGAACGGGAAAGGGAAGCGACGATAAGTGCGCCGAATTGTGCGACCAAAAGAGCGACGGGGCGTGCGGAGAACCGAGCAGCCAGTAGCCCCTCCTACAGCGCAGCGAAGCCCACCGCGGGCAGAGGCAACACTGCATGGCAAATAAACACAGGGAACGCTACGAAATAGATTGTACATGTTTGGACCTATTCGAAGAGTGCACAAAAAGCTACAACTTCAGCGACTGCGTAGTGATAAGGAAGTGTATCAAAAATGGAACATTGAAGCAGGGGGATAGTGTGTGTATATATGGGAGAGAGAAATGCGGGAAAACGCTTCTTTTGACGGAAATAGTAGCCGAGATGACGGCCGTAAAAGAACTCAACGGAATGAACTGCAAAGTGGTGTACCTTGATTGCGACCTTACGTTTAGCTATAGAAATTACGAAAGCATCATAGGGGAAAAATTTAACAAACGTGTAGACTACGATCATAGTAGTACCTGCGCCAGTGGTGGCAATTACCAAAATAGGAATTTAGGAAAAGCCTTTTTGGAAAATTCCTTTTCAAACATGTACTATTTTCGAATATTTAATCCAGGTCATCTACTACTCATTTTAAATACGTTAAAAAATTTATTAAAAAAAAAAAAATTCTTTGAGGCTTTATTTATTGACTCCCTATCCTTCTGGAATTCCGGCAAATATGACAAGGTAAATTTGTTCTCTGATAATAGTTACGTAAAAAGGAAAACCTCCGATTTGCTGGACTATGCATTTACACTCATTTTGAATTTGAAGAAAAAGTACAAATTTTTATTCTTCTATTCGAAGCTATGTAACCAGGAGAGGTTTATTGACTACACTGTTAAGTTGGTTGTTGAGAAGCCAAGGGGACAAAATAAACACAGTGTCGCTGAGGGAGAGACACACAAGCGGAAAGAGAGAAATGAGAAAAAAGAAACGCACCTAACTTCTAAGGAGCATACAACACTGGAAGAGTCCTTTCTGATTCCACACAGCTTTAATGACATCCTAAATACACACATATTTCTAAAAAAAGACTTCACCAGCAATAATTTTTTAGTGGAAAAACCATTTTTCATTTATTTAATACCAAATGAGAAGAAGATCAAGGAGAAGAAGAGGAAGAAGAAGAAAAAGCATTTTGCTGATATTCACCAGAAGGAGGATTTCCCCCATTTGAACATTTTAATGTGTTTATCGTCCGAAATGAAGGATACTGACAAGACTCAGTATTTAAAATTTTTTTTTATGATAGCAAATTCGCACACAATTGCGCCGTTGTGAAGTACATCCAAGACGAGGAAAACAGGCGGAACGGAATTAGGCCAAAGTTTGCGAAGCTGGTGCGCAAGTTTGACAGTTGCGTTGAAGGCTACCGCTTGGGTCTTATCCACGGGGGAGGCCCGCAAGGGGCCATCAAAGAGTCTGCATAATATGTGCAAAAAAAAAACCAAAAAAAAACAAAAAAAAAACAAATAGGCTCCCCTGCCGTTTTTATTGCCCATTAAACCGCATCTTTACTCCAGTTTTTTTTTTCTTCTTTCCTTCCCATTCGCCTCCCTTTGGACGAGTAAAATAAGAAATTCTACGAATAAACCTAGAGGCACGTTTTTTATGTAGACGAGTAGATTATTCATCACGAGGGGGGGTTATGTCCATGTGAAGCGAGAATATATTAATATGGGCGCGCGGGCATATGGGTACCTTCGTGTCCAGGGACCCCCGTTTTTTTGCATGACCAAATGTTTTTGTGTGGTTATTTATTTACCCCTTCTTTAATTACCATAAAATTGTTTGTATGCGTATTAACGAATTAGCACATTCTGCACCAAAACCAGTGAGTAATTTTTTTCATTGGTTGCTTTATGCCATCCACCCCTTTTTCATTTGTGAGGGAAAAGTTTTGTCTTACAATACTTGTGCGGTCTGAAACAGTAATGCAAAAGCTAAGTAATTAACCCTGTGTGATTCATTGCACTTATTTTGCACAAAAAAAGTTAAAGCATTCGTTTGGTGGGTCCTTTCGGCACCTATTATGAGGGAAGAAAAAAAAAAAAAAAAGAACGCCAATATGATGATTTATTTCAGAAAATTAAATTCATTCCCAACGCTGTGCTATACCCCTGTTAGCACAGAATGCACAGGGACTTCTTGACACATCCATCAAACCGTGTGTAAAAATATTGATTATTGTCCGCACTTTGGCTCCTTTCGAAAATGTAATGAGGGGAACCTAAAGGAGCAGCATTTTTGAAGGCCCACATTTGAAATCCCATTTTGCAAGGGCATTTTGAAGCCCATTTTGAAGGCGCATTTCCTCAAGGAAAAGCAGGGGGTCCAATGATAGCACCCCCGATTGTCAGACGACGCATACGATATTTGCACGCACGTGTACGCCCTCCGGAAGTAAGGTCTACATTGGACAGAAAAAAAATGATAAGAATTTATAGAATTGTTGAGCAACACGCACAAAATAATAGGCGATCTGTTTGTGCTGTTTTGTTTTCCTAAGTAACTCAACAGGGGTGCTCATCATGTAACACAAATCAGTGAAAATGAGGTGCAGGATGTTTTTTCACAACTTGAACGTTGATTATCATCCTTTAATTTATGCATCGTTGATTTTTTTTTTTTCACAACTATCGCCAACTGTGGCACAATTTCTGTATAAAAGATGTTTACATTATGGTGTCTGTATCGTTATTTCCCACCTACTCGTTTTTCACGCGGAATACTTAACAGAAAAATAAAAATCTTCCTTCGCAACTTTTTAACTTCACCTGCAGCTTTGGTGTTTAGAAAAAATCTTCGCTTTTTTTGCAGCATCAAAATGGGTGGAACGGAATTTCACAATAATTCTGGATAACCATTTTTTTTTTCCTGCAATATAGCTATTCTGCATAACTTTTTTTTTTTTTTTTTAAATATAACCATTTTGCGTAGATTTTTTTTTTCCAAAAATGTGACAGCTGTTCGTGCGTCTGTGTGTACATTTATTTAATTATTTTTATGTTCACTTGTTTGTTCGCCTGTTTGTTCGCCTGTTTGTTCGCCTATTTGTTCTCCTATTTGTTCTCCTATTTGTTCGCCTATTTCTTTACTTGTTTACATATTTATTAACTTTTCCATTTTTCCCTTTTCTGCGAAGTAAATTTTGCACCCCCACGCGTGCCTCGCCTTTTAATTCCCAAAACAACTGCCAGCAACTCAGTTTTAACGACAAAATGGAGTCTTCCGAGGCACAAAGTTTAAAAGTTGTGCAGAGCAGCGCGAATGAGCAGAATGCGTACAAAGACACACACACCACGACACTGCCAGAAAACTACAATGAATCTGCCAGCAACGTAGGCAAAACGAATCCACTGGAAGGATATTACACAGTGGCACAGGACGACAGCAGACCAATGGATGCTAACAATATTCCCTATATAATTCCTGAGATTAATGAATCGGGGATGACCGTCGACCCAACGGCCATGCAAGCGGCTGCTGCGATCAACCAGAGTTTGATGTACCAGAACCATGGGATTCCAGCGGATTACCCCGTAAGTTTGCTTTTTTTTTTTTTTTTAACTTTTCGCTCTGCACATAGGTACAGGCCTATGCATATGTGTTTATATACATATATGTGTAATAACTTAACCAATTTGTTTTGCTTTTTTTCACGGCTTCTTTCTCCCTCCCCTCCTTCTGACGTAGTACCAAATGTTTAACGGACCGAACCCAATGTATGGAGGAATTCCCCAGTATTATGGAGATGTTAACATGCCAATGAACCCTTACTATGACCCGTACGGAATTATTAACCCTATATCGTGTGCCCCCCTAAACTTAGAAAAGAACAAAAAGAGGAACAAGAAGTTTTACTGTTGCTGAAAATGTCGCTTGAGGGGAATCATTATTTTTTTGTCTTTTCCGCAAATAAAACGAGCTGGAGTGATTGAATGTGAATTCAAATTGTTCGTTTTTTTAAAATATATGTTGTATCTTCGCAACGTTCTCCCCCGTTCGATGTTGCGCGCTGCGTAACTCTGCGCACATGTGTGCAACCAGGTTGGATAAAAGCACAGAGAGGCACACTTACCCTTGCGCAGAATTTACGTTAAAGTAAAGGAAAAAGAAAGCAGCACACATACGTGAGCTTACATATTTCTACACACCTCAGTGTGACCACCCCTTATGTAAAGCCCCACTGCTGTGCGAGTTATAAACGAAAGAGACTTTTAACTTGGTACATTTTTTTTTTTTTTTTTTTTACAGTTTAACTTGTGAACCTTTTTCTTTATGATGAACATATTGAATTATTATTTTTTTCGTTCTACACGTTATTTAGACTTTAAGCTTTTGCAAAATAATAGCTTACTTGCTAAAGGGCGTAACTGTGTGCGGGATTCGGGTGGACATTTTCGTCGCCTTATGGGAACGTCTTTTGGGGACCCTTCCGGTGAGCAGCATGGGGCCTATTCGATACCCATCGTTGCGGCTACTCCAGAAGGGTTCTTAAAAAATAAATATACTCTACAAATTGACGTGTGGTGCCCTTTTGACAAAACCTTAACAGAAATGAAAATGTAAAAATTTTATTTAAAATGAACTGAAAAAAGGACTGTCTGTGAAAGCTACATCGTCAGCTAAGGGGGCGTTATTTTCCAAATTCGCCTGTTATATGCTGGAGTTTTTTACAATTTGGGGGGAAATGCATTCTGGTTCGTTTTCTTCCTTGTTGTTAAAATGTATTTTTGCGCAATTGTTTATAGTTGGGACGACATAAAGGATTTCTTTTAATCCTCCTATTGGCCTGTCATGGGAGAATAACCTAATAGCGAAAGTGCAGCCGCGCGGATGTGGGTGGGAATTGGCTAAGGTTAAGCAAGTGGGCGCATATGTAAAGATACATATGTGTCCCAATTACCAGCGCTCCTCGCCTCTGATGCATAGAGGAAACGTCGACGCGCGCCTGGGGGGCTACTTTTCCGCTGTGTAGAATACTTTAAAAGATCAGCGCGCACAATGTTTTTTTCATTTTAGACATTGCTATGTTGAATGTTTTTCTAGTGTGACGCAAGAACTTTGGCAGAATGGGAAAGCCACAGGCAGGTATTCATCAGTTGTTTTAAAATATTTCCTTTTCATCACACGTGAGTAGGAATAGGCAAACGCCTTTTTTTTTTCTGTGTGGAGATGAGAAAATTGCCATTTACGCGGGCATGAAAAGGCGTGTCTTTTTTTTTTTGCCCAGTTTAGTCTGTCAGCCCGTTTACCAAAATTTCACCCGTTTTTGTCAGGAGCACCCGTTACATAGATCAGGCTAATTTCCCTACGTCATTGTTAGGCCGTTGGAAATAGGCAAAACGGTAGAGCGTGCAATGTGAAGGCGACGGGGAAGTCCTTACCATGTGCATCTTCTTCATGGAGCACAGGGATACTGAGTTATAGCAGCAATTATATTGACCGTTTTGACGCTAATTAGGCTGTTCACCCCGGTGGAGAGCCCCCCAATTGGAAGAAGCAGAAACGTTGGAGTGACCTCCTCAATTGAAAAAAGCAAGAAATGTACAAGCAGAAGTCGCTAGAACTCAGAGACATCAACTATGTATATGAGAACTCATGGGTCTGGGTTAACATCAATTCGATAAAAAAAAAAAATGGGAATTTATATAAAGAAATATTTGAATATTACAAAAATAAGAACAAAATATTCTGCTTCTTCAAAGGAAAAGTAAAACAATTCGTGTCCAAAAGGGACGTAGAAATATGCATCAGCATAGACGACAATTATGTCAATTTCAAAAACAACATAAATTATAACATCACAGAAAATGTTAAATATTTATTACCCATTGATACCAATTTTGGGTGTAGTGACAACACCCAGTTAATATATTTAAATCCGCCAAATTTGTTGGAGAATATTCGACAGAGATATAGTAAAGCGTACTTAAATGAAGGAAGCAGAGATTGTATTTATACTTACATTGGGTACATCCTGTTGTCAGTGAATCCTTATGAAAATTTTAAAATTTATGATGAGAGGTACATGAGGAAGATTAAGAATGAGAATAATCTGTTTGCTGTTCCTCACCCTTTTTCCATTGCCAACGATGCGTACAACTGTATGGTGAAGGATAAGGTAAGCCAGTCCATCATCATAAGCGGTGAAAGCGGGGCTGGCAAGACGGAGTCGTCCAAGCAGGTGCTGAGGTACCTTACTTACTTGAGCGCTTGCCATTCTCGGGAGGCAGCGACAGGAGTCGCAAACGCATTGGGAAAATATGAGGAAAAATGTGACTACGCACGAAAAGGAGCCCCCCCGGGCGGAAGTAATCAAGGCACGGGAAACGGCGACACTGGGGGTCGTCGTGCGAAACCGTCTGCCAAGGAAGGAAAGGACAACTTCAGCGCAAACGTTAGGGACACCCCCAAGAGAGATGAAATAAACGAAAGAGGCGCCAAACATGGTTCCGAAAAGGGGGGAAAAGCCGTTCCCTTAAGGGAGCCATGTTTCATCACGGTTTCCACCGCCGCGTCCACGTACACCTCCGAGTCCAATTACACCACTGCGCCCACGTACAACACCGCGTCAACTTACACTGCTGCTTCCCCCTCCTCTTATGAAGACAAAATCCAAAACAGCAACCCCCTGTTGGAATCCTTCGGAAATGCTAAGACGATCAAAAATGACAACAGCAGTAGGTTCGGAAAATTGATGAAGTTAAATTATGACGAGAATGGCATGTTACGCTCTGCGTCCATAGAAACGTATCTGCTTGCAAAGTCCAGGGTGGTGGATGTTCCACCCAGGGAAGGGAATTACCACATTTTTTATTCCTTGTGCGAGAACTCCAAATTAAGTGACGAGTTCGATCTGTTGCCATGGTACAAGTACAACTATTTGAGGCCCCAAAATGATATGAACAAATCAGGCGATAGTTGCCCTAATGGGAGGGAGGATTATGAGGGAAATGAGGAAATGGAAGATGGAGAGGACAGTAACACACAGGGGAAACGGAAGAAGAACAGCAGGAGCAGGAGTAAGAGTAAACGGAAAAAAGTGGACAAGTCGGACGAAACGGATAGGGAAGAAGTAGCCTTGGATGCGGTCGAATCGGGAAAGGATGAAGGTAAAGGGAAGAGAAGTAAACTTAAGGGAAAATCAGGAAACGACTCCCATCCCAGTGATGAGAGCGGCAAGGCGAACAAATGCTTGTACGATTTGGACGCCATTATAAAGTGTTTTCACAGCATAGGGGTGTATGAAGAGGAACAAAAGGAGATTTACAAAACGCTTATCTGCATTTTGCTCCTGGGAAATGTCGACTTTGTGGTGAACGAGGAGGAAGAGGGAGGAATGCTCAAAATTAAGAGTGTAGAGGTGTGCGAAAAGTTGGGCGACCTGCTTGAAATTAGCAGTGACCATTCGGGAAACAGCACCTGTGAAAGCTGTGGGGCGAACAAGATCGTCGAAATTCTAACCATAAAGAAGGTGCGCGATACGCAGAAGAATTACACCTACCAGCAAGCGATCTACAACAGGGATGTCATATCGAAGGCCCTGTATCAGCTCCTGTTCGAGTACGTGATCATGCGTGTTAACGATTCATTGAATGTGCGCGAGGGGGAGGAGGTGGAAAAGCAAAACGGTGACGACGGGAACATGGAGGGCATTCCCACCGATGAGGAACACGCTGACGGGGCGCACCTAGAGTGCGAGAGGGTAGGGGGAAACGTGAAGCCCACCAAAAGGAATAGGAGCAGCCATAGCGGAGCAGACGCAGGTTACGCAGCACACACCGGTCTCGGTACGGGCAGAAGCGGAAGCAAGACCTACTTCATAGGCATTTTAGACATCTACGGATTCGAGAACTTCGCCAAGGAAGGCATGAACTGCTTTGAACAGCTGTGCATCAATTACGCAAACGAAGTTCTACACGCTTTTTTTTTAAAGCAAATAATTCACAATGAACACAAAATACACTATGAAGAAAATTTGTTTCTCCAGAAAATACCATACAATGATAATAGCAATGTGATATCTCTGATAGGGGACACTCGAGATGTGAGCATCTACACTATATTGGAAGATTTGTCTCTGCTATTTTCATCAAATAAGTCCAACGAGGAGAGTAATAAAAATTTGTTCTTCGACAAGTTAAGTAAAAATGTCATGAACTCAGCCAAGTACAAAAATATCGTACGAAATTACAAATCGTCGAGGAACTGCTTCATCATTTCTCACTACGCGGGAGAAGTCCTCTACGACTCCCACGATTTTTTTAACAAAAATGTAGACATTCTGACAAACGATATTGAGGAGTTCCTATCAAGCTGCAATTCGTTCATCAGGACGAATTTGCTTAAAGGGAGAAGATATATGTGTGGTAAGGGGAGCACACAGGGAAATCATCCTAAGAGCACTGGCAACAGAATGGTGGAGCTGAAAATTCAGGAAGAGCCAAAATCAGGCAGGAGAAAATTATCCGTGAAGGAAATGATATCCCACCATGAGATTGAGTCAAGGGGAGTCCTTCCTGTACATCTCCAGGGGGATGATCCGTATATGAGTGATGACGACGAGGAAGGGGGCGAACTAGAGCGGAACCATCGCCAGAGCCTCCGGAATGGGGGAAACTCCAACAACGTTCTTACGTATCAGACAGGACGAAAGAATAAAGTAAAGTCCATCTTTTCGTCATTCAAAAAACAGCTGGAAATTCTGACTAACAAGTTAGACAAAACGGCTTCGAAATTTATCAGGTGTATAAAACCAAATGAGGAAAAGAAGGCCAAATTTTTTAATAGAAATTTGGTGCTGAATCAGCTAATAATGAGCGGAATGGTGGATGTCCTCAGTTTAATGAAAAATGGATACCCTTGCAGAGTGCTCTACCATGACATCTGGATTACGTATAGTCACCTTTTGCAAGACGAAATGAAGTCCTTCCTTACCCCCAAAATGTTCTGCGAAATTGTACTAAAATTTTTAGACATCCATTCTAACGAATACACATTTGGAAAAACGAAAGTTTTTTTCCGCTTTGGTGTTTTATCCACCATAAATGAAATATTGAATAAGAATTTGGAGAAAAAAAATAAATTTATCCAATGTGTGTATAATTTCTGGTTACACAAAAGGAAGAGAAAAATCTTGAAATTTGTCCTCTGTGGATGTAGGTTTAAAGTGCTAATAAAAAGGATGAGAGCTAAACGTTTAATGGAGCATGGACTCTATTATTATAATAATTTTTTGCTACAGAAGAAGAGGCAAAGTCTTCGGAAAATCCTGTTCTACTACTTTTATGTGTATAAACAGAGAACCTACTTCCTGCAATTGAGAACAAGTTCCCTCGTCATTCAGAAGCACATTCGGGGATACCTCGCGCGGAAAGAATATTTACACGTAAAAAGACAAATTCTTTTTATCCAGGATTATTATATATTTCAGGGGTACTTTAAGCGGAGAGTTAGAGCCTCAAACATTATTAGGAAAAATTGGCTCACTTATATCACCAAATCTGACTATCACTATGTCCGAAGGAGCATTATAAAAATCCAGAGGGCCTTTCGAAGGTACATGAAGGGGAAATATTTACACTACTGCTTGAAGGTAGTGAATGTTAAGAAGCAGCCCAAGCGCACGTACAGCGTGTTCGTGAAGAGGGAGATCGGCCAGGGGAAGAAACTGGAGTTGGGGGCACAGCGGACTTCTCAGAAGAAACTCGCCAAAGGGGTGAAGCACGAGAGAGCTCGTGATCGACCGCTAGGGAAGCGCCCCTGTCAAGAGGACGAGCGCATAGGGTCTTTCATCTGCGTGGAGAGGACCAACCGTAGGCACTCCTTCGCGGTAGGTGCTCAGGAGTAGTGTGCAAATGGGCATACCTCTTTGTACATGTGTGAGGGTTCCCTTGCCGTAACTTCGCCACGCCGCAACGCTAAGGGACCGCTCATAGACCGCTCATGCATCTCTCTTGCACCTCTCCCACTTCAGATAGGGCAGAAATTGGACGCCTCCTCGAGCAGCAGAAGCAGCCTCAAAAGAAGAAAAACCTGGAGCGCTCTGGAAAGCGCCTCAAAGTATTACTACAACCGACAGAGCTACAGACACGCCAAACCAAATTATATGGATAGAGCTATTTCGAATCATAGCAGTAGCCATATCAGCACAGGGAGTGCCTTGATAAAGAAGGTCACAGGAGGTTACACCGAGGAGAAACCATTTATCAGTGTTGGCCATATAGCGATTAACAAAAACGGGAAAATAAACGGACGTAGTATTCACCTTTTTGGTAATGCTAGTGGGGATAAGGGCAGAGCAAAAAACAAGTTTAGGTTCAACAACCTGAGCATATGCGGTGACAACATGCATGCGAAGGGTAATGGCGGGGGCGGCGGTAAAAGTGGCTCGCTCAGCATGGGTACGTCGCGCGAATCGACGCGTTTGCACCTCTGCAGTACTTCGCAGTTGCAGCGCTTCGCAATTGTAGCGCTTCTGTGCTGCACCGCTTCCGTACTGCACTACTTCCCTACTGCAATGGTTCACCACTGCGCACCTCCCTCGCAGGCAAAAGCCGCATGAAAAGAAAAACATACAATCATGCGATCCTGAAAAACGACTTCGCCTCGAGTTACAAGAGGGAGAAAAATAAAGTCTCAAATTTTTTGAAAAACACCATATATGATAGATACATCAGCAAGTACAAGCAGAATTACATGAGCAGACAGAAGGATAAGAAGAAGAAATCGATTTACATAAAAAACAACTACAGCAACATCAGCAACATATACAGCGTTTACAGGCCTTCACAGGAGGAGAAGCTGGCTGAACAGTATGACTTCGACCGTACTGACGCGGTAATGGCTTTTTCGATGTGCAGCGTGAATAATGGCACTTGCGTCGGGAATATGCTCCTACACAGAGAATGTATATTGGGTGATGGGCCTGGAAAGTGCTCCTACACACGACGTGTACATTGGCTGATGTGCCTGGAAATGGCTCCTACGCAAGGCGTGTACATTGGCTGATGTGCCTGGAAATGGCTCCTACGCAAGGCGTGTACATTGGCTAATGTGCCTGGAAAGGGCTCCTTCACACGGCGCTCACAAAACACGCACGAAACGAATGACCTTTCCCCCCCCCCCACTTCAGCTCATCATTCCGGAGGACTTCTACGTGAGCGAGTCGAACATCCCCGAGCCAGACATCATGCAGGAAGATGATGTAATCGTTTTGTTTATACCTGCATATATCACCACGCGTGCATGCAGCATGGGTGTAGACGCTTTGTACATACAAAAAAAAAAAAAAAATCACCCCTTGAAACCTCTTGCAGGAAAATTACCTATTGTTGTGTGATTACCTGGACAACAATTTGGATTCGAAGATCCCCCTAATAGAGCTAAGTGCTTTCAAGTGCGTGTGAAGGAAAGGCGGTCGAGGAATTGGATTTGCGCTTCTAAAATTAGGGGGAATTTTTGTAATTTTTTTTTTTTTCCACTACTTGCGTAAACTGTTCCTTCTCGATTTTGTGAAATGGGGGCCCGTCCTTGATTTTTGCAGAGAGACATTCGAATGACACATTCGCGCGACGTACATGCCGGACGAGGCAAGGCTCCACAATTTGCCCCCCCCTCTTTCGTGTTCCCGGCACCGATGCTACGCAATTAAAATTTCGAGGACAGATTTTTTTTCAAAAAAACGTATCCATCCTTGTAAATCAAATGGTTCGATGCCATTCCTTCACGTTGTCTCCGTCTGAGGAATTCAATAATATCTTTCCTTTTAACTTTACTTGGTACATTTTTAATATTTTTTAACCACATTTCAATATTTTTCAAGGGGCCTAACCCTCTCAGAGCCTTTGCATAGTTATCGATTCTCCGTCGTCTTTCTATCGATTCTTTCGTTTTGTAAATCCTCCCGCAGTAAAAACCGTCACTTGGTTTTTTCCTTCCGCAGTTGACCATTTTGGAATTCATTTTGTGCTTCACTTCGATGGGGAAATGTGTCGCATGTCCAAATGGGGCATTATTTTCCCCACTTCCAATCTGATGAAGTGTTTTTTTTTTTCTTCTGTTGACCCATTCGTTTGATGTCTCGATAGCCATTTCGTTCACACGTGCGTCTTCATCTTCCTGTATTGGGAAGTAATTTCCTTCCGTTGACACTTCACTTCGCTGATCTGTACAGCCAACAGTGTGACTCCCTCTTGTGACTTTCCTTCGTGGTACTCCTTTCTTCCCACTGGGGGAAAATTGCCCTTTCGTGATGCATACAAAAGGGATCCTCTCCGTTTTGTTCCATTTTTGCGTGTAGTCTGACAGCTTATACTTTATGTTTTTATTTGACACCCCCCGGATGCTTCTTTTTGGTTCGTTCTTGCTCTGCCTAGGGGAAAGGCTCATATCCGTGTGTTCATTTTCGTCCTCTATTGCGGTAAAAAAATGCGTCTCCGATGGGGATGGCTCATATAATTTTTTGTTAAAAAAGGAATCAGTGAAATGCTGTTCCGTTTGGTGAAGAATATACTCTTTGTTCTTCTCATTATCGAGGGTAGCTTCATCTTCAGAATTTGTGTTCTCCTTTTTTAAATTCCTCCCTGTTTTATGGTTTATAATAATTTTATCGTCCAGTGGGTTTGTCACTCCTTCTGATGTGTTAACTGTTTTTACGACATCCTTTTGGATTTCTTCATAATTTAAAATTCCATTATGTCTGTTTTTACCTGAACGGTTGAGGTGATTTCTGTCAAACGGGTAATCATCAAATTGGGTTAAGTCGTCATATAAGTGCAATTTCTGATGCGTAGTAGGAGCGCATTCCTCTTCATTTAAGTCTACAAAAGGGGAGTTTGTTTTTCCCATCTTGCTGCATGCGGGGGTGGAATTTTTCAGGTTGTCCAGAATGTCCTTTACACTTTTTTCCCCCCCCTCGGAAATAAGATGTGAGGAACCGCTTTCCGTATGGCTGCTTCCCATGTGGTTGCTAGGAGCGTCCCTGGGGTATGCATCAGTGCAGATGTCCCGGTTGATATCCGCGCTGATGGGCCGCCCGCCGTTGATCTTACACCTGATCACCGTGCCTATTCCGTTAATGTCTTTCTTAACGAACGAGGTAAACAAATTTTTTTTTTTTTTTTTCAGTCCCCTAATTTTTAGCAGGCTTATGTTGTTCCTTTTTGTAATTTTTTTTAGTTTCCATTCGTTCAATTTTTTTTTGAATTTTTCTTGCCTTTGAATTTCTTGGAGTTGTTTGTAATTTTTTTCTATTTCTTTTATTTTTTCAATGTTCTCAAGGATTTTTCTTTTTTTCTTTTGCTTTTTGTTGTATAGTGTGTTTTGTTCCCGGTTGCCTGACCTTTTAGGGGGATTTGGTTGCTCGATCACCGCGGATTTGTATTTACAGCATAGGCGTCTATTTCTTGGGGGTGGCAAGCCTCTTCCATTTGGATGGGTTTTCCAGGCCGCATTTTCAATGGACCCGCTTCTTGGGGGGTCCTTTTCTTCTTTTGCTTTCCTCCCCCGCTCGTACGTTTTGAAGACCTTCCTGAGTTGGTCAATTTCGGTTGCCACGATTTTTTTTTTCCTGGCACAATTTAATTTGATGCAATTTTTTTCATTTTTGGGGGGAGATCCGGTTAAATGCGCCTGAACAGTGGAGGGGAATGAAATTTTCGACTTTTTTCCCTCAGTGCATTTTCTTTTATATGTGTCTTCTTTGTTCTTGCCCAAGCAGTTGCTTGATGTGGACAGATTGCCTATATCTAGGGATAGTCTAATATTTTTTACTACCGTTAGGGCATTGTTCGTTTTTAAAATTTTGTGAATGTTTTGTAAATACTTAGAATATTCGCAGTCGTTTAGGGAAGTGCAAGTAGACAGGCTGTTTGTTGTGACATTAGACGGGACGCTCTCATTAGATTCTTCCACAATTTCGCTGTTGCGCACGCTTGGTTGGTTCCTTCCGGTTGGCCTTACACCTCCGTCATGTTTCTCGTACGCCCCTTTCTGGTTTTCTTCTTCTCCTGTCGGTACGTTCCCCTCTTCAGCCGTCCCAGTTTTTCCACGAAAAGGATTATTCCAGGCATCACGCGTGTCGATTAAATTACGAGGCGATTTTGCCTTCTCTTGGGGAGACTCCATAGAACGTTCGTCCGAGGAGTTCCCCTGCAGTGTTTCTTCACCCTGCTCGCTGAGATGACGTTCTCCTTTGATGCCGCCATTACGTAAAGCATTTTTTATGAGGCCATTTAGCTCATTGTAGAAAAAAATACTCTTCAACGTAACGTAAGCATTTTCCCCAATGGTTGTTTTAATCTTCTTCAAGATGTTATTTTTAATTTTTTTGTTCAAAAAGAGTGCATAGATCTTCTTGTTTGTCTGAAAATTCGTGATGTCGAAATTGTAGCATATTTTCCTCACACTTATTTTACAGAGACTTTTCGATTTCACGAGGATAGAAAAGAGGAGCAGATCATATGGACATTTGGAATTAATTAAAATGTTAATTCTGCTAATCATGTAATCCTTCTGGTACTTTTTAAAATTGTTCAATTCGATTAAATATATGTCCAATATTTGTTTAAATATAAATATTTTCCTGTAGTGAATACTTAAGTGATTTTCTAACTTGTTGTGAATTATTTTGAGTGTGGATTTTTCTTTCCTATTCAGGAAATTTTGGTCTGCTTCCTCATTTTGCATGTTTTTTATTTGGACATAAAAACTTTGTATTTCGACTACACTGTTTGATATATAGATGGAGAATTTTTTTACAAAAAATAAATAACTGTTGATAATTTCGTTGTTAAATTTGAAATGTGAAAAAATCGCATTTTGTGTTTTTACCAAAGTGCAAATGTTGCTGTATATGCTAGTTATGCGTAGGAAGAAGTTCATACAGTTTTGTATAACTGTAACTTTTGCCTGTTTTTTTACACTCCTTAAAAATTCTAGTTGGGGTGTAAGGCTCTCTATTTCTTCTAGTTTTTTTTCTATCATTATGAGAAGCTTCTCTATTTCGTCAGTCATTTCGTTAATTTGGAGTAGAAGAATGTTCATTTTGTTTTTCATTTTTAGGAGTGTAAATAGGACCTTGAAATTTTCCACGCTGAGCGAGTTGCTTATGGTGCGGTGAATCTGTTCCTTTTGCTCGTTCAGCGCCAGGCGGCTGCAGTAATTTTTTATGATATCTTCCTTCTGGATAATGCGAGTAGTCGCTTTGGTGGGGAAGCTGGGAAGATCACTGCAATTTTGACCTGCACTTCGCGGGGAAATTGTTGGGGCATTTCTGTCGACACCTCGACCCACATTTGCGTCCGAATTGGTGACTAACGATGAACTGTCCGCTAAACCTTTAAGCAGTTTGCAGTTCTGTTCTAGTACCTCCAATTCGATGCTAAATTTAAGGACGTGGGTTCCATTTTCTCCATAAAGATGTAGAGAGACATGCCCCTCCAGCAGGTTCAACTTTATTTCATGCACTAAATGATTCATTTGGGGTGAGCTCATGTCGCTACGGCGTTCCTCCAAAATGGCGTTATCAATTTTGTTTCCGTCTTGTGGAGTGTTATCAATTTTGTTTCCATCTTGTGAGGTGTTATCAGGGAGTGAATCCTCTCCCTGGAAAGTGTCTCCACCGATTCGATTTTTCGTGAAGACGTCACTGGAGTCGTTGGCGTGTGTACTGATACCATTTTTTCGTCTCAAATGGGTGTGCCCCTTATCACCCCTATGAGCAGTGAGACGATCATTTTTTATGGAACTCCCTTGGAGTGGCTCACCATCCGATGAAGTCTGTGCATTATCTGCCATCCGGTTTGAAGTGAAGCCATTTTGGGAATGTTCCTCTCCTTTAATGGAATTTATTTCCTCTTTGTAATTTCTTTTATCAACATATATCTCATTTGAAATGTTCCCTTGGGGAGTGGTTGTGTGTATACTTGGACTTCTTAGGTTGTGATTTGCCTGACGAGCAATACCGTTCTGTTTGTTCTCACCTTTTTCTGTTACTTGGACGCTCTCCTGAACGCTCCTAAGGGTGGACAAAACCTTATGTCTCTCCTTTTTCTCTTCCAAAAGGTAAGCACTTTCGGAGTCCCGACAGGGAGAAATGACATTTTGCACCGGAGTCACAGAACATTCGTTACAACTATCCCTGTGGCTGTTTACACGCTTTTTTTTTTCTCCTTTCGTGGTTATAAGATTCTTCTTATAGAAGCGAAAATAGCTGATGGTTTCATTATCCTTCTTATTATTTTTTTTTCTTATTATGTGCCTTTTATTGCATGCAGTGATGTGTAGACGGCAGTTAGGGGTATATGGAAGTCCCACATTAGGGTATGTCTTCATCGCCATTTTGCAGAAATTTGTTTTTTTTTTCCCTTCATCTTTAATTCTATTTTTCTGGTCGGATAATGCCCCCTTAAGATGGTCCTGCTTCCATACAGGTAATAGTACGAATGGATGTCTATGTTTCACATTTTTGTGCAATTTTCTCAGTGTGCAAATTTTTTCACCCTTGTGTGTGTCAGGCGGCGTGTATATTTCATGCGGCGTGTGCGTGTACAACTGTTCTTTGTCCTGTCCTGATGGTCGCAACTCTTTCGATGCTACTTCTTCTCCTCGTCGTGGCACTTCGAATTGGTGAGAATTAATTTGGCCGCTTGTGCGCGAATTAGGAAAATACGTTGCGTGAGAGTTATTCTTGTGTTTTTCTTCTTCAGGATATTTTTTCTCAACGGAGGAGTCATCACAAATTGATTTCCTCTCTTCTTTTACCAGTTGGCATTTTTCACCTTTTGGATTTGTTTGCCTCGGAAGGGTTCTTTCTTCTCGGCGACCATTTAGGTTCATAACCGAATCGTCCCTAAGGGGGACAATTTCGTCGTAGTTCTGTGGGTGAAGTTTGACGTAGGAGGTCCCCCTGCCTGTGGGCTCTGTTTGATTCGCTTGGGAAAAATCCTCCTGCGGGGGATTGCTGGAGTGGTTAAAAATTCTGCTGCAGTTGCTTATCAGGGTTTTTATGGATTCGTCCAGGGAAAGGTCAACCTCACAGGGGTCCACCACACCTGGGTCCGCCTCAGACGTATCGGCATCATACGAATCAGCCTCACAACAGTCAGGGTCAGAAGCGTGCGCCATTGAAACTCTCCCCACGCAAAATTCCTCTTCCAGAAAGTTCTGCTCAAAAAAATCCGCGTTTTCGTTCAGGTAAGAATCGACGATCCCACCGGTGGTCGACCATTCTGTCACTGGCGAATGACCATTTGGTCGTTCCCTCAGGGGTGCATCCTTTGATTGTTTCTTCGCTCTTTTGTTTTCGGCTCCATTTAAAAGTCCATCTCTATGGTCAGAACTCCGGTTTGAACTGGAGTCTCCTTCCTGAGTTAAGTTACCCACATTGGAAGTGGCCCCACTGGAGTTTCCCTCCTTTATCAAAGGAGTCAACGATCGAGTTCCACTCACACCAAGTGGGTGGACATTACCCCTTTCACTTTGTTTGGACTCTCCGAGGGATTGCTTGTGTTGGTGAGAATTTTCTTTCTTCCACATGAAGGGAGTTTCATATTTCAACAGAATTTTCATGAATGGGTTGACAATTCCTTTTGTTTCTTCCCCTCTTTGTATCTTCAGCAGTGCATGAATTTTACTCTTCATTAATCTTCTCCTAAAGAATCTAACATAGTTGTCATTAAGACTTTTAAAGGTGCAAATATGGATGTTACTATGATTAAATCGGTAGGTTCTTTTTGATAACTTTTTGGCAATTCGGCTTATGACTTGATTGTCTAAATGTGTGTCCACATATGCAGCCTCCTTCCAAGGTTCCACTGATGGGCTGTACTTTTTAGGTGGACAATTTGGGTTCCTCTGTTCGGGTAGCGATTCTCTGGATGGGATGATAAAATCGGTTTTTTCTTTCATCAATGGTCTAACAAGTTTGGCTTCACGGAGATGGCTGCTCAATTTTGAAGGTGAACCAACCCATTTGTTTTTGTGAATTGCGAGATCAACAATCTGTTGATGTTTACTCTCCCTTTTTTTTTGCTCAAATGGAATTTGAAAAAAATTTCGAGAGTTAATTAAATCTCTTTTTTCTATTAAATTCTTGTACATTTTAAGTTTTGTTTTTTTTACATGTTCGTGAAGTCCACTTGCGTGGTTCTTCGATCCCTTGCTCTGGAAATGAGAAGTATCCCGCTCAGTCGTGTGGCCCCCCTCAGTCATGTGGCCCCGATCAGCGTGGCTGCCCCACTTCGTTGCGCCTTCCTCTGGCTCCAGGTCTTCCTCATCGCGGTAATGGTAATAATGTTGATCGTCCTGATAGGAACGATTTTCATGACCATCCTGGTCGTCTTGGTCGTTCTGATCGTCACCGCTGCTAACGTTAACACCATTACCACGGCTGCCATTATGTTCAGAATAGCGCTCGCGCGAGGGGGCTGTGCTCTTCATTCCCCCCCTGGGCGAGTTCCACTTTGGGTCAAACGGAGGTCTTATCCTCCCTTCGACGACCACGTCTTCATCACTCTGGTAGTCGCTAGGCAGTCTTTTTAAAGCGTGCATTTGGGCAGGGCCATGCGAGGGTGAAAAAAAAAAGTGTGTATATATCTATGTGTACCTGCCAGAGTATGTATGTGTGCTGACTGTGTTACTCTTGCTTGAACCCTCCGAGTAACTCAACCGTGTGTATACGTAAAACACATGCCTATTTGATCAGCCGTTACGTTGACGCTCCTTTCTTATTCATAAACTCGGAGGAAAATTATGTCTCATTCGTGAACGAGCCGAAAAAAAAAAAAAAAACTTTCGCCCAGGCTGAATAGGCACCAACAATGTGAGCAGATAAATCTGGGCGCCACTAACATGTGCCTTGTGAATGTGCACACATATTTTGCTTAAACAAGGGAGGATGCCATCCCCGCCTCTTCCCAATTTTGTGTTGTAAAAATGCGAAGAATTCCACCCCAATTTTTTTAAACTGCACAATGCAATGCGTTAATGCTGCGCAGAGTTAAATGAGGGAAAAAAAATAAAAAATACAACGATCAGTGCAAAGGAACGGTTAATCAATAACACAGAAAAGTAATTTTTCGTGAGAGCGGCTAAGTTCGAAAATGATGGAACAACGCGTAGGGTAAAAATACACCATAATGTGTGGGGAAGACAAAATTGAACCAAATGGAAAGATACAAAAATGGAGGACCAAATTATGCGAAATAACACGGGGAAAATAAAAGAAAATAAAGTAAAATAAAGTTAAATAAAATAAAATAGAACAAAGTAAAAACTTACGTGAACACCTGGGTGACACGTATGCAAGAGGTACATGTTAGCCCTAACGAGTGGAACTGCATCCACGGGGGCCCTTTATCCGTTTCAACATATATAAACGTGCCGTCCAACACGTGACCCAACTAGCAGGCGCGGAGAAAAATCGTTAAAAGGGCGTTAAAATGGGAAAAAATATTTGTTTAATGAAAAAAGTTGCGTAAAAAAATACGTAAAATCCTATGAGCAATAACAATTGCCATGTGAATAGAACGACGATGTTAAAAAAGGAGCAGAAGGAATCGTAATAAGCATGCCGCGCAGGTCTGGCAAACCTCTCACGCCACACATAGCGCAATTATCGCGCATGCGTGGTATGCGAGCATTTGTGGTGACGCCCCCGGATGAGTTCATCCAGGGAGAGGCGTCTCCAACTTTTAAAAAGCGAAAAATAAAACATAGCCAAGCCAATGCATTAAAATTTAAAATGTGCATGATAGCGTTGCAGGTTAACAACATTCTAAAGGTCATCAAATTTGTTCTCCTGGAGATTCTCACATTTTTTTTTTTAAAGCGACAAATGACTCGGCTGTTTTGCACATATTGGTCTATACACATATATGGTTTAATAAATATGCACAAATGTGTTTCTACATCTGTACATTTTTTGCCATGAAAAATCTCGGCCTATCTTCGGTTGCGGGTATGCCGATAAATGGGGCGAACAGTGAACGTTCTTCTGAGTGTGCTTTCACAAAGGGGTCTCATAAATCCGAGAATGGAAAGTAGACATACACACATGTGTGCGTGCGTGGATGGATGCATATGAGATGCCTCCCTTGGGTTTATTCTCTCAATATATTTCTGTTGCCTTAACGAAATTGACACGAATGCTTCTATCGAAGGATTATGTGCACACAAAGCGACAAAAAAACGGGAGATTAAATGAAATGGTGTCTTGTATAGGGGGGAAAATATGAAAGCATAGAGAGTCTTATAATAATTAAATGCTGATCCGTTTGGCGATATGTGATACTCGGGGGAAGAAAACCACTTTTTACCAACTTCCATTCGTGCACTTTCCCGTTGGGATTGTACAAAATGGTCGTGTCTTCCAAATATACTCTCTATCACCTATTGCGTGCACAACGTGGGGAAGCCTCACAGCCGATTCGGCGTGTAAGCGTTAAAAGGCGGTAACGCGTGTGCAGATATATATTAGGAAATGTTTACATTTACACGCACTGCTCTGTGACAACTGGAGAGTTATACTGATGCTGACTGTTATGTATACGTCAGAACTGAGCTGCTGCGTGCATCTTTGTTACCTTTTTACTTTGACATGACGCGACATACCCCTTTTTTTACTCGTCTTCTTCGAAGAACTATTGTAAACATTCACGGTTTGAGAAGAGAAATCACGGGGGCGATGGCTCTGACTATCATCTGCATTCATGAAGTCGTCATTCTATTTGACTAGGTCCGCTTCGTTGCCGGTGTCGTTGGCTTTTTCCCGGCTGATGTCATCGTTTTCATCATGCCTATCATTATTACTACCGCTCCCCTGGGCACTGTTCGAGTCGTCATTGCAGCAGCTGTTATTACCCAGGTTGGCTAGCGCATTCCCGTCGGAGACGTCGCACCCAGAGTTATTATTATTGCTTTCGTCATAATCGTTATTGACTATTTCATTCCTCCGGCAGGCCTTCTCATCCGTGTTATCTTCGCACACATTTTGAGCCCTATCATTGATGTTCACAGTAGCGCTGGTGGTGGTGGCCGTGGCTGCAATTCTGTTGCTACAGTTTGGCTCATTAAATTGGTGCTCCACTGATATTTCGATGGTCTTACCAATTAGACCATTTTCTCCAACCTCCGCGGGAACAACACTATTATCTTTTTCTTCACCCTCCTCATCCTCATTAAGAATAATATCACCATCCCTCTGCTCATTGGGAGCATCATTTTGCGAGGATTCCTTTTCTTCTTTCTTTGAATTCCCTCCTGCAACCTCTCCCTTAGTTAATGCCATATGAAAAGATGGTTTCTCATTTATGTCCCTTTCTTCTTTGCTACCATGTAGTAGAGGTATGCCATCGGATTGGTTCGTCGCAATATTGTTTTCATTTTGCGTATCGTCAATGGATTCTAAACATGTGTCCTGGTTAAGAGGATCTTCTGTAACCTCTTTCGAAGTGTCGTCCCAACTGATGTAATTTTGCTGCACGGAGGAATCATTCACTTGGTCGCTGGAACTGTTGGGGATGCATTCCATATCATTGTTCGAATCGATGTGCACACCATTATTCATTCTTTGTAGGCTGCTTGGCGGATTTAACTGACCAGCATTGATGTCATCAGCCATTAGGTTGGATTCATTGTCTGTTGTAACTGCATGGGGAGGCACGTTTGATGCTTCGTTTGGTTCGTTCTTTACTAATGTGTCATCATTCTGCGCTATAGCATCTGCTCCCGCCGCCCTTCCGAGGTCGCTTCCATCCTTTTTAGCACTTGGTGGGTGCTCCTTATCATCGTAATGGTGATCGCCCTCTACTTCGTTGTCTTGGGTATTCTCGCACTGGATGAGTGGCTCATCAGTCGGTGTGGACAAATGTGCTAAGTGGACGAATGACTCTTCTTCTTCTTTTTGTTCTTCTTTCTCTTCTTCTATCTTTCCGAGTTGTGCTCCTCTCTCCGTGCTGTGTTCTTCCTGCGCAGAGGAAGCGGCTCGTTCGGGGATCACCTCGGCGTCGTTGCTGGGCTCGTTGCTTACTTCTTGGATAGCACCTCGGCTAGGATTTTGGCTGACTTCTTCTTCGACTTCTTCGCTAACATCTTCCTCTCCCACGCAATCCGCTGCTGAGTCTTCCCAAGCATTACTGCTGCCGGTGTTTCCCTGCGTGTGGCTTTCCTCGGAGTGCATATCATGGTGAGCCTCCGCGCGGTACCCATCTGCATCTTCCGATTGCCCCGACTCCATGGTCCTTTCGTCGTGGCTCGCCTGCTCCGCAGCTTCCATTTTGGCACTCAAGTGGAGGTAAAATCGCTCAAAATAATCCGGAGAAGGAAAAAAGAACAAATTCGGCTTTACGTTTATAGACAAAAAGATACTCCTAAAAAACTCATTTAATTTGTTATTCAATTTAAAAATTTCATCAAACAACAAAATATTTTTTACCAATTCGTTGAGCGAATCATCTGAGCTGAAATTTCGGCTCTCCGTTTTTGTACCGCAAACATAATCGAGCAGAATGTTAATAAATTCGCAATTTTTAAAAATAAAATTATAATTTCTAAAGTCGCTAAAGATATCAAAATAGAGCAAAATGTTGGTGTAAGATTCTAGCAGGTGGACTTGGAAATTTCCCTTAATAAAATTAATGGTGTTTTTATTTTTTCCATTGTACAAATTTATTATGTTCATGTTTTTTATGAGTGCGTCTATGTTGTTCAACGCTAGCTTGTCGATGGATTCGCTATACTCGAAGTATCTATGCATGTAATTCATTTTGACAATGGGTATGTTTAACAGTTCTAGTTTGGTGTACTTTATTTTGGGTTCAACATTTTCTCCATCGTCGCTGTTGTTGCTTTGGTTGGAGATATCATGGAACGATTTGGATTCCTTTGCATTGTCCATTTTTAGCGCCTCCGTTTTTTTGGCTGCTCCCATTTTGCTGCTTGGATTCATCTTCAATGCGATATTCTCATCCACTTCTTTTTTCCTTTTCTTTTTCTCGTTTTTTTTGCTAAGGTGGTATGTCACGACTCTTTTCTCTCCATTTGTTTTTCGCTCCAAGTTTGGCAAGTTATCGAAGTGGAAATGATGAACAGTTGGGCCATTCGCCTCCTCGGGATGCACATCGTGGTTAGACTTAAAGGGGGCCCAGCAGTTGCCGGTGCTGTTCCCAGTGCTGTTGCTTCCGCTGATGGTGCCGCTGTTGCAACTTCCAAAACCATCAGCTACCATGCTCTTGTAACTGTAGAGAAGGTTCTTCAGTCGCATATTCTTAGTCTTGGTAAGATCCTGGAGTGCGCTGTCAAGAAAAAGTTTCTTTGAGTACTTTGGAAAGTTTCCCATCTGATGGGGGCTCTTACTATTCATTTTTCGATGATTACTCATGGCCATTTGTCTATCTTCGGAGAGATGCTGCACATCCTTGTGCGACAAATTTGGGAACCTCTTTACAATTTCCATGGTTTTCGGGGAAGCGACGTTTAACTTGAGTTCGTTTATCAAATCCCCCTCGTCCGCTTGGCATGACCGTTTTTCCTTTAGCGCGCTCAAGACGTTTTCCAAGAAGTTGATGTAGTAATCGCACTTTTCATTTTCCGTACTCAACACGTCCTTTATGTTTATTATCATGTCGGCGTCTTGGCAGCCGCTTCCGGAAACGCTGCCCGTTGCGTCCACAGTACTACTGCCACTGTTGTAGGCATCTACTGAGCGGTGGTCTCCTTTCTTGTAGTGGCACACTCTTTTCGCGCCTCTCACCCTGTTTGAGGTGTCACTCGAAGAGTAATTTCCCTTACGATTATTCCTCACTTCCTCGTCGTGTGCAAAGAACGCGCTTCCTTTGCTTTTCTGTAGTGTGAGCCTCATAGCGTCATTGGGATCGACTGAACTGCTAATCCCTTGCGTTTTTTTCTTCTTCCCTTGTTCACCTTCTTTCGTGTTTGAGGCATCCAAATGGGTGTTATTAATTTTCCTAAAAGAGTCGGGATTTTCCACTTGTTCCTTTTGGGCAATATTTCTGGGGTAGCCGTTTGAATTATTCCTTCTGTCATGTGCGCTGCCGTTAACATTTGCGCTTCCACTAGGGCATGACCCGTTTTTGTTAAACATGTCTCTGACATATTCGAGTAGTTCCTCTTCGTGATTTTCTTCTTCTGCTTCTTCGTCTTCCTCTTCTTCATCGTCGTTTTCTTTTATGTTTGCCTTACTTCTCACATCACTTTTGCCACTCTTCCCCACACATGACCCATCAGCATACTCGACGGAGCTAATCGCATCATTGCCCTTCTCGTCGTTGTTCACCTCGTCAGAGTATTTGATATCCCGCGGGGCAAACAGGTTGAGAGGATATTTTTCTTCCGTCACTCCGTATAGCTCAGGGAGACTCTTATGGAGACCTCTTTTACTTTCCGAATTGGCATTACGGGACACTTGGCGACTGCTACAATCGTTCACTTTATCATCTGTACCTCTTTGGTAGCAATTTACTACGACCATTTTTTCTTTCCTTGGGTAATTTGTCTGGTTAGGAGCTTCCCCTTCATTCTCTTCATACTCCGTGTTATTCGTATTGAGGATCTCGTCGGAAGGGTAATTTTCTGCGTTGGTAAAAATTAGCCTCGGAATGGCATTTCGACTTGGGCTGTTTTTCGATTCTTTGTCTATATGGTCTTGCATGAAGTTAATCTTATTTTTTGGGCACGCTTTTTCGTCTTTGTCCTCTTCCTGCTTGTAGTGGCACTCGTTTTCATCCCCTCTGCTGTCCTCCGGTATGCTGCCTATCCTATCGCTTCGCTCACTCATGTACATTTCGTAGATGGAGTTGACGTTGTGCAGTCCGTTGGAGAGGTAGGGATCGCACTCCTCGAATGTGTTTTCCTCTGCGCTGTTGTAGCACCTTCCCTGGTTGTTTCCCCCCTTCGAACTGTTCCCCCTGCTAAGGCTGTTACTTCTGCTTCGGACGCTCCTTCCACCCATATTTCCAGTGCTGCTAACTGGTGCCCCCTTGCTCCTGTCCATCATATCCACGTGCTCGATACTCGGGTGAGCATCGTCATTCTCTTGCATGAAGCAACTCTTGGCCTTCTTCTCCCCATGTTCTTTGAAGAGTATTTTCTCATCCGTGTACAAGTCCATATTCTCCGTCGCATACATATTCCTATAAGCGATTTCCCTGGGGTTGGATATGTGTTGATGGTCTGGATAGCTGCCCTTCTTCTCACTCAGTCCATTCATGCCGTTCAGTCTATGTATGTTTAAGGTATGCCCATGTGTGGTGGTTCCGTTTTTGGAAAACTTCCTCAGGCTCTTTTTAAAGGTGCTCACTTTTTTTTTAAAAATATTTCCTGATGACAGTTTGGATGGCGACTTATTTTTGTGCAGCGGTTTGTTGCTGTGATTATTGATAGTGATATAGTTCGTGTTGTTGTGGTTTATAATGCAGGTGTTGTTGTTATTGCTGTTGTTGTTATTGCTGTTGTTGTTATTGTTGTTGTTCTCCCGCACGTTGAGTTTGTTCAGGCAGTTGTTTCCGCTTCCATTTACGCTTCCATTTAGGCTTCCATTCACGCTTCCATTTAGGCTTCCATTCACGCTGCTGCTAGTGACGTTGTTGACGTAGGCTTCCTGGTGGTCGATCTTTATATTCTGGCTTATATTCTTTATATGATTGGTACTCGTGTAGTGGGGTTGAGCAGCACCGATTGCGCTGCAGTTGTTCAGGCAACTGCTGCTGCTACGACTGCTGTTGCTAGGCTTTTGGCTCTCTAACCCTTTGGCACTACTCAAATGGGAAAGGACAAATTTCTCTCTCTCCTTAGGGCTCATGTCCTCTTCATCCATGGGCTCGTTCTTCACTAGAATGTACTTCCGTTTTTTGTTTTTGCCATAAAAATCGTCCATGTGGAAAGGGTCCTTTTTATTATTCCTTCCATCGGATGATTCAACCATTTCGGGATAACTCTTTCTCGTGTTGTTACTGCTGAATGGTTCTTGTTCGTCCACCTCCACCTTTTTTTTGAATTTTTCAAAAGTGACTTTTCCTCTAAACTGATCAAATACTTCCTCCGTCATGCAGATTCGTTCGTATGAGCTCCACGAATTGCACCTTGTTTTGGGTAAAAATTCATCATCATACGTGTGGTCGAGATTATCTCCGGAGTGAACCACGTTGCCGTTCGCTCCTCCATTATTGTTGCTGCTGCTGTTATTGTTTTCGCCTCTGTTGTTGGTGGCGTCATTGTTACTTCCATCGTGGTGATTTTCAGCGTGATTGGCTCCCTCGTGATTGCTTCCTACGTGGTTGCTTCCTAAGTGGCTGCTTCCTACGTTGTTGCCTCCTAGGTGGTTTCTACTGGTATCGTTGCTACTGCCATGATTGCTCCTTCCCTGGTTACTACCGTCGTGCGTACTGCTACCATTGTTACTGCTCCGATTCAACTTCTTCAAAACTTTGCTTTCGAATCCGAAGGGCACATCCTCGTTGCCCATTCTGCTGGTTGCACCTGCGCAGTTGTTGCTGTAACCCATATTGAGGAACTCATATTTTCTCTTGTCCCTGACTTTCCAGTACAGATACGTATCATCATTGGTGACATTTTTCGAAAAGCTCATTCCATTCTGCTTCTTAGAACTCTCCACTGGCAAGTTACTTCGATCGTCGTATGCGCGTGTGGGCTGGTCGCTGTGGCTTTGTGTCCGATTGTTCCTCCGGCTGTTTGTCCGGCTGTTCGTATGGCTGTGCGTGTGGCCATGGAGCTGACCGTGGCTCTGGCTTCTATTTCGATTGCGGTTTTGACTGTTGCTGTGTCTGTGGGAGACATGCGGATAATGATGTCTCTTGCTGTTGTCCTCGCGATAATTAGTTTCGAAATGATCAAAGATGTTGAAATCGTTACTCCTCCCACTTTTGCCCGTTTCGTTAGTGAGCTCCTGGTTTCTGCTGTTGATAAAATGATCCAACAGATTTTTATTATTCTGCAAAATGGTGTTAAATTTATTTTTCTGTTTCATGTAATAATTTCTGTCAAGGCGTTCCAGTATTTTATTTTTTGCATGGTTAGCTATTCCTTTATTTTTATTTGAAATTTCGATGCTGTTAATTCTGTTGGATATACAGAGGATGCTTTTTATGTTTCCCAATTTTTTCCGATGACGAAAAGTTGCGTCGTTTTTCGTGTAATGCTCACTGGTAGGGGTATTTATATTCATGTTCTTGCTTATATTTTTAAAACGGGTGTCATTTTTTATGAGATCTTGATCATTTCCATCTGGATCGTCTTCATCATCGTCCATCATATTTCTGGGGAAATAATTATTGGGATGATTATTTGTGGAATCCACTTCCTTTGCTAAAATTTTCTTCCCCCGTAGTGCATTGTTCTCTTCTTCATTTTCCACGCCTGTTCGATTTTTTTCCACCACTTGGTTTTTCACCGATTTCACCATTCTCTTTTTCTTTTTGCTTATGTTGTTAACAGCGTTCCCGTTCATTCCGGTCATTGGATCCATATCGCCCATAGGGACCACGGCGCTCATTTGACCCACATCGCTCATTGGACCCACATCGCTCATTGGACCCACATCGCTCATTGGACCCATATCGCTCATTGGGACCTTATCATTCATTGCGTTTAATGCATTTGTATTGTCGCCTGGGCTTCCTACCACCCCTTCGGAGATGCCTGCACTATTTCCAATGCTGGAAATCGCACTGGCTCCATTCCCATTTACAATTCCTAATTCTTCTGTCAGCTTTAGTGCTGCTTTTCTCGCCTGACCTTTCAATGTTGAGCTTAAATTTTCGAAGGGCTCCCACGTGTTATCATCACTATCGTAATTCTTCCATTTTATAAAGAATTCAAAATTGTCAAGACTTTCTTCCTTCCTATTTTTTTTTCTCTTTATGTTTAATTTGTACCTCGCCATGACGATTTTTTCAACCTCAAACACTTCGCTGTAGTCGGGTTCCCCGACCGCCGTTATGCTCAGTTCCGAGCTGTAGTCATCGTCGATGATGCTCTTTAACTTCTTCCTCTTGTTCGGTTTCGTGGAGGCGCCTTTGCCTTTTTTTATTGCCATCCTATCGTGTGCGCGGGGAGTGATGCGGGGTATGAGGTGGCTTCTTTAGTAGCGTTTTAGCAGCGTCTTAGGCGTGTTGTAGCACTGTGGGTGTGGTGTTCCGTTGCGCACGTCGGGGTTGAGGCCCTCGTTACAAGGGGGTGCGCGTGTAGGCGGAGTCTCCTTGTGGGTTTCAGCGTAGGTGTATATATGCAGTGGCACTCACATACGCAGGTACACTCACATATATGCTAACACGGGCGCGCGCAAACATACACTTGCCGTTTGACGTATGCTCCCACGCACGTCCACGTGAACGCGAACAATGGATATACGCATATCTACAAACACAGTCGCACATATTTTTGGAGGTAAAAAGTTAAAAGATTCTCATGACACATTTTAAAATTAGTACAAAAAAAAAAAAAAAGAATTTGAGCAAAAAAAATAATAAAAAAATGTGTCAGTGAACGAGTGTTACGGCTAAAAGAAATAACGCAATGAATCTTATCCGTTTAATGTGTAAAATGAATGTAACTCTGTGCAAGTTTCTTACTTTTTGTTTTTGTTCTTGTTTTTCCTTTTGTTCTTGTTTTTCTTTTTGTTTTTTTTTTTCTGTGTTTTCTCTATCTCTCCCTCTTGACAAATAAAAGAATTTTCTAATTCAATGTATTAGAAGCGGTGTGTAAAAACATTGACGTAATTAGCTTATATATATATTCAGCCAGAGAAATGCAGCTCCAATTGTTTCGCGTGCCGGATCTTTCGGTTCAAAATAAAAGGTGCTTCTTTTTAAAGCGGGTTGAACACTATTTTATTCGCGTGTGTGTGTATATCTAGTAGCAAGCAGAAGTGTGAATCAATGTAAATAGGTCCAGTCGACAAGTGGGGTTCACTGGGTGAGTGCAAAATATGAAAGCATAAAACTGATCGCATACATGCACGCATACAAAGGTACATGTAAGTGCGCATAAACCTACGCGTATGCCTATGCATATTTTTACGTGTTATCCTCTCTTCACTGCTAAAAAAAAAAAAAAAAAAATCCTTCCAACTTAGGAATATATGCTCAGGATTTCCTTCTTTTTTTTTTTTTTTTTTCTCCTTTAGCGTTGGGGATGATGGGGGTCAGGTGTGGCCAAAGTTAAAAGGCAAACGATGCGCACGTACGCCGGCATGAAGGCACATAGGGGAATACGTTCATGCGCAGGCAAGCAGTGAATCGTTTGTCAGTCTTTTCTACGCCTACCTCTCACTGTGCATTACAAAAGGGAAGTAAAAAAAAAAAAAAAATACGGTGGCAACACTTCGGCAAAATACAACAAGTTTGGTATCAAGTTACGTAAAAATGGCAATTGCGATAGGCACAATTCTTTCGTGCAACTTTCTTCGATCTGATTCGAATGAATCCTGCGGACAACGAAAGGTTATCATTGAAAGGTTGAAACTGTCAGTGCGAGTGCGCATTCGGGGGGGAGTGACACAGTCTCTGTGCTCAAGCATGTACATAGGGCGCACGTCGGAGTCTCTGCGCGAAAGTACGCACATGCACATATAAATGTAAGTGTAACCGTAAGTGCAACCGTAAGTGTATATTTTTTGGTGTACGTACAGGTGCACATGCACCTTCGCATACACCTCCCGGCGCGCGCGTCTCACGGTGGACACTTCTTTTAAAAGTATGCACATTTAATCATTCATAAATTTGGAGTGTAAACGGGGATGGCGGGAGAGATAAGTAATTAAAGCTTAAACACTTCACACAATGTTGACATTGGATATGCATGTAGTGCATATAAAGTTCATATGCCCCCCGGTGGTTTGCATCAATTGTGTTAAACGGTTACATAAGAGCGGGATACGGGGAAATATAAGGCATAAAAATGAATGTAATATATTTGTTAAAAGTCCTTTTCGACTACTGAGATGTATGCATGCAGCGACATTCGGTTTTCAAACAAAAAAAAAAAAAAAAAATTTTTAATGATTTGTGAATTGGGCTCATTCGTTAGGAGCTGCGGGCGTGGGAGGGGTGCATACACGTGGTGCGCATACAGAAAAGTACATATACACACGCTTACGCACCCAAGCACACACAGACGCCCGTTTCCCAGCTCGCCTATTTAAATTCGGGTGGGATCATCACATATGTGTCCATAAAGTTGCATTAACCTACACATACTTTTGTGAGTGGGGAAATCATTTAAAGCACTTGTTGACATGGATTAAAGCGCACATTTTCCTCCTTTAACATTACAACAGAAAAGTTAAGGGGGGCAACACGGAGAAGAAAAAGGAGCTAATGCTCATTATTCTTGTCAGATCAATACAAGAAAAAAGCGGCAGGAAAAATGTTCGCTGAAAAAAAGGCGTTGAAAATAGGAGATAAAAAAAAAAACACATGCAAGGTTAGCGGTGCTGAGCGAGTACAAGGGCATGCACATAAAATATTATACAGTACATAGGTAACTACGTGATAACGTTTGACAGCGCCTGGTCATTTTGGCATCTAACTAGGGGACAGTTTTTTAAAAAAAAAAAATTCATGGTGCGTGATGGAAAATGTCAAAGTTATTCTTATCTACACGCACACACGGATGCAGTCGTGTACATATGTGCATACACATACAATGTTGCACATTCATTCGTTTGACAGTGGCACTTAGACGCCCACTAGCATTGCATGCATGTTTAGTAAATCGGTTGTGCGCGCAAGGTGACTTCAAATTGAGACGTCCATGCGGTGGCTTCTTTCTGAGGGGTAACCTCTCACGCGGTAAAATGTATACACATAAAAATATGCACCATGTAATGATATGTACTAAAAAAAAAAAAGGTGACAATTACTCGTTACAGGGCAGTTAACTTTTAAAACAAGATAAAATTTCCCTCTCCCTTGTTGGCGGGAAAAAGCTTAGCCAACTTATTCTAACAATTTTTTCTTTTCACTGTGCGCACTCCCACCTATAGGTATGCGGACGACCGTGAAATATGCACCCCTCTTGACAGCGCCGCAGAGAAGAATAGCGCGTCTGTTTTGATAACTTAAAATGGCGCTTCGTGCACCTGTGCCCGGTTACGGAGATTCTTAAAAATGGGCAACTGGGCATTGGTGGGTCGCAGGAAAGTGCAAATGGTACGTACACGCAGGGAACGAGGTAATATAAAAGTCGTGTATGTACGTATGTATGTATATATATGTATTTTTTTTGTGGCTCTCGCGGCGAGCGCTTCCTCGAGGGAAGCGTCGCCTAGGCGGGGTTGCACGTAAGCGGGTATATGAACATATATATGCGAAGGCGTTTAGCTCTAGGCATGGTGGTGTGTGCCAGTTTGCCTCTAGGCGTACACGTACACGTCCATGCTTACAAACTTGCATGCGTAGGAGTTCACGTGCATCCGTGTGCGTGCACAAACTATACGCGCAGTTATGCAACGCTCTGGAACGAGTGAAATGTGTTCACAGGACATGTTATAGCAGCTATAAATAGTTGTAATTGTTATAAATGGTTATACATGATCATAAATGACCAAGAACAGCCATAAAAGCATGCGTACATATTTTAGTATACCCCGCTGTGAACTGACGCAGGATCGTATCAGCGACTGCGTTTGGGGCCACGGTACCCCCCGTCGTGCTTAACTAAAAAAAAAAAAAAAAACTCGCGAAAATTTGAAAAAAAGGGGTCAACACAAAAAAACGCGGGGGGGGTCTGCTGAAGATCCTTTTTTTTTCTCTCTATTGAACAAGTATAAAAAGGTTGAAAAAAATAAAAAACAGGAACATGGCAAACCTTAAAATGGAAGAAGAAAAAACATCCACAAGGATAAGCGCAAATATTCGCAATATAGGCGAATATATGTATATGTGGATAAATATATTTTTTCTTTACCCATGCAAATACATGTTTTATTTATAAAGCGGCCGAGCAAAAATATTAAACTCGAAAAATGGATAAGGGCTTCTTCTTTTATATACTTCCGAGCGCTCGCTTATTTTTAAGGGCTCACATATTTCTTGTGCTGAAAATTTTAACGGTGCCTTTTTTTCATCACCTCGTTCGTTCACCACTGCACGATGCGTTTTGCGTTTTTCCCTACCCCTTCAAGGGCAATCGTTTTTTCTGAGTGGTTCGTGTGTTTTTTCATACGAAACAGGTAGGCTATTGTAGGTCAGTGGTGAAAATTCTTACTTTTATGTACATGTGCTAAGTGCTCAGGAAACTTTGCACAAAAAGTACACGTAAATATTTCTTTACATCACCAAGTGGGGTAAACTGCACCGTAATATACATCGATATGTATCGTGCCATGTGCGCCCTTGTGATTATGCCGTTATGTAGTTATGCCATTGTGCAGTTAAGCATTTTTGCTGTTATGCAATTGCGAAATCGTGGAAGCATATTTGAAGGCGAGTAAAGGGAAACGTCCAAGCTGTAAAACGCGACCACTGCGTTAACGTCGGCGTGAACTTCAACACAACGCCAGTACGTGTATACAAGAAATAACATTCAAAAAATGCGCCTGTGAAATATACGCACATGCGCATAATTTGCATATATATATTTATGTACATATTTCTTATGTAATATGCCAACCGTACGCGTAGAAACGCTTACGCGAAGCTCGAAGGAAAAAAAGGGAACAAGCATATCGAATTGCCCAACGAGAAGCAAAACAAATCGCAAAGCAATCCGCATTAATTCAAACAATGTAGATAGGGAAAGGAGCAACCCCCCTTTCGAAAGGCGTAAAAAAAAAAAAAACATAAGCCAATCCGAACATACGAATGCTCATTTTAACAAGCAATCGTAATATTCACCTCCACCATGTGCCAGGGGAAAGAATATATTTTTTCTCAAATATGTCATAATCGCAGCATTATATATCCGCATATAATATTAGATATGTACATGTTTTGGGCACTCAGGAAATAACGAGAACGCATGGGGTTTAAGCTTTTATGATGATATTCAGTGCCTTTTTTTTTTTTACATTTTAGCGAATGACTAGTTTGACGCAAAACAAACGGGCATGCATTTATTTCACCACATGATGATTTAATTTTTTTTTGTGATAAAAAAAGAGTTTATGTATGGTTTATTACCGAGGATGGGTAACTCGGCTTTTGCCTCATAGCATCTGAGAGTTTGTACTTCACGTGTAAACTTCTTGCGGGCAAGCCCCTCGCGTGTAAAAATTGGGGGTAAACTTCACGAGGGTGGACTTTTCTAGGGTGAATATTGTGCAAGGGATTCCTCACGTAACGTGCCCGTGCGTGAATGCGAATTACACTATCCCGAAGGACACCCTTTATGTGCCACCTGCAGGGACCTCACCCCCCCATCTTCACCGCCACATACACTATCCTGGTAAAGGCGTTGGATGTATAAAATGAAATATGAGAAAAAAAATTGGAACAACGATAAGGGGAAAAAAAGACGTTCGAAATTTCCAAACGATGAAAGCTACGGCGGGGGGAAAAGCAGGAGGTATGGTAAACATGACGAGGGAGGAGGAAAAGGAGGAGGAGGGGGGTTTAACAACAAGTGGTATCGCCAGGAAAAGCGCCGTAGTGCGCCAATGCACAGTGACATCGAACAGGGCGACGATTTGAATTCAGAGAGACCCACTTACAAATCCGCTTCGTCCAATTTTAAGAGCAGTAACTATGAAGTGAAAAATAAAGTGCCAGATAAATGGGGCCATCGAAATAGCCAGTATATGCCACCCTCATATAAAAAGGGGGCGATGAATCAAAACGCGAACGTCCCAGATGGCATGAAAAATAATCATCCTCGTTATCAAAAAAAGTACGTAAGAAATGCTGGCGAAAGGGGATCAAAATTTAGTGCGTATGGAAGTGGCGGTCACAACGTAAATGTCAACTTTGATGAAGAGAAACGCCCGCCGAACGAAGACAATTACGACTACGCCGATGATTATTACAACAGTGATACATACTATGCGGAAGACGGCCACCACACGGGGGATCATTACGGGGATAATGGCGACTACCGTGGCAATGGCGGTGACCAATACGGCGATCAGCGGAAGCACAGCCAGTACACTGATAGTTACAGCAGGAACTACGACCACGGGAGCTACAACCTCGACAGTAATGATGGCAGCATTCGACACGCGCGCAAAGACAACCATGAATACGAGGACAGCCAGGGTGATAACTACGTTGACAGTTACGATGAAAATTATGACGCGAATTGCGGAGACCATAACAGTAATCGCGCCAGTGGGGATTCCAGAGAGGCCAACATAAACGAGGAGCTGAGTAACCTGCATAGGAATCTGCACAATTTTCTTTTCTCCCCTGCAAAAGTGGCAGGCGAGAAAACCCTTAGCGAAACGAACACCACATCGCATAAGAAGGACTCTAAGGAAAGTTTGTTGAACCAGTTGACCATTCTCCGGAACATTCCGTTTAATGTGAAGCAGTCGGACGGGGAAGGCGACGCTGGAGGTGGTATTGGAGGCGGAATTGAAGACGACACCCAAGGCGGCATCCAAAGCGGCAGAGATGATGGACTTACTAACAACAAGGTCGATGCCGACGTCAGCGACAGACGTAGCCTTGGCGCGCAGCAGAAGAAAAGGAGCCAGAGTAGCAAGACAGCCATGATACTGGACGATTTGAAGAAGTGTCTCTATGGCAGTAGAAGTCAGAAATCGAAGAAGACACACCCCGCGGGGGACAATATGGGCATCTTACGCCAACCGAACCGCGATGAGGGAGAGTCTCAAACGGACAGGAGGTACCATTCAAACAGCTACATAGTCAATGACGATAGCCATTTTAATGTCAGCAGTGGTATAGGCTACAAAACTGTTGAGGAAAGTGGGATCAGAAGACGGAGTAGAAGCAGCAGTAGTAGAATGCGAAGCAGTTTTTTTTCCCCACCAGGAAATGTAGAACGGGGGAAGATGAAGAAGAAGGAGAAGCAGGAAGAGGAAGAGGAGGAGGATAGAATTCGTAGCCGTTACAGAAACGACTCTAATTATTACAATGCCGAGATGGACATCGAATCGTCCATATCAAGCGACCATAGCGATGTCATGGGTGTGTATAAGAACGAAGTGAAGGAGGAGGAGGACAATATGATAAGTTCGAGTGGAAATATATTTCCCAGAAATCAGATAGCCGAATCGTTGAGGGTGTTAAATACGTTACAGGTAGACATTGAAAGAGTCTGCTGTTACATAAAACATTTCATAGATCCTCCGGAGGAGCTGTTCCAAGTTATGACGGATGTTTTCGTGGACAAGTCAGTTGAAGTAAATTCAAAAATTGCCACCTTTTATGTATATAATCATTTAATACAAGAATTGAGAAACAATTTAAAAAACGATTTGATAAAATATTATTCAATCGCGGAGAGAGGGCTACACATTTTTGTCGTCCCAGTACTCAGGTGTGTACTACATGAGCAGGTCAACGTAGAGATGATTAACAAATTTTATCGATGTGTAGCCATATGGAATGAAAGAAATGTTTATAGCAAAATAGTATGTGAACAGCTAAAATTGCTTCAGAAAAATCCACAAAAAAAAATTGATTTTACAGTAAAAAATGTAGCTAGCCAGCCTCATAGTTTGCTATCAAATGAACTGTCCAAATTTGTACCCATCAATTTTATTTTAAAAATGCCAAGTGTGAATAATGAACATAGGAAAGCTCTGGAAGATAAAACTCTCAGTGCGCTTTTTCAGGATATATCAAAGGATACTCTGAGGGGGTACGATGAGGCGGATGTTGAGGAAGCTTCCAAAATGTCAGACAAGGTGATGCGGATGTACGGGCAGGAATTAATTTTAATCAACTCTCAAATCTTGGAGTTATCCTCCTTGATTTGTGATAACAATGACCAGTTGGTGAAGCTGCAGAGTGCGCTGGAGAAGCTACGGGATTGACGCGCATAAAACGGGGGAGAACGAATTTTACCTGCTCCCTCTACGGTTAGGCAGCCAACACGGGAGTATCATAACGATAACGGGGAAAATACGCCTTTCCAATGTGAATCAGCACGTGTGTGTCACCATGTATGGCTCCCCACCGAATTGAAGCCTTTCCATTCTGTCGCATACGCCGTCGAGGTCCCTACCATCCGTGGGGCCCATGAATTTTTTGTTTGTCTTTGAATTTTATTGATGTATTTGCCTATTTATGCTCACTCGTGGGTAATCCGCATGTGTTTGCCTTTTGAGTTTCGCCTTCTGCGTTTCGCCTTCTGCGTTTCACCTTCTGCGTTTCACCTTCTGCGTTTCGCCTTTCGCCTTTTGCACTTCGCCTTTTACTCCTTCGCTGACTCCCACCTGCGTGCCGCCCATCTGCGCTGCGTCCCTTGTTTTAGTCCCGATTTGTGATCCTGGTTTGAGTATTTCTTCCGTCTCTCCGGCGGGCGCAAGCTCCAAGCTGACCCCAGTTGAGCCGACCCCACTGGAGCTGAGCCCAGTTGAGTATCTGCTTTTTCCCCCTTTTCTTATAACCCCCTTTTTTTTTAAGTCATTTTTACATTTCTGCAAATGTTAAAAAGTTCCAGAAAGGAGCACATTCTTTTCCTTTAACTGAAGATGAGGTATGATCCGGAATGGTGACGTGTATCACATGCTGGTTGCGAATGGGGTGACATGGAAAGGGAGGCGGCAGAGCGGGGCCATATCGCACGGGGGGTTCTTTTAACTGGTGCACATCTGCAGATCCGAGTGAAGTCTTTTCCAGGGCGATTAGGTCCATTTTCGTAGCCACTCCCTGAAGGTAAGGAAAAAAAAATAGGGGGGAATGAAACAAGCGCCGCTGCAGCGAAGCGGACGCGAAAAAATTGCGGCTTGACGATGGGGAACTCGCAAAACGGGTAGGACCATCCCCCAATTCGCGTTCCTCAAGACGCGTTTCCCAAACCGCGTTTCCCAAACCGCGTTTCCCCATCGCTGGCCAAATTCACGTACGAGGAAGTCATCTGTATGTTGAGCGAAAATGCCAGAGAACGTTTCCAGAGCTCCCGTGTATAATCATCAAACATGATGATTTTAATTTTTTTTTCTGGCGACTCTCCATGCTTGACTTTGTAGTTGAGCGATACTATACTTTCGTAATTGTTAACAAATTTAATTTTGTTCAAATTTTCGTTATTGTATTTGTGCACAATTTTTAGGAAGGATTCGTTTGCAGATAGGTACCTCTGATTATGTTCGTAATGTTGCCCGTGCATCAGATCATGGATATTGCGCTGATCGTCTCGGTGGTCATATCGGTGGTCGTTTTGCTGATCGTCGCTATGCCCATCAGTCTGCGTCGTGGACGTGGTGTTTGTCGACAACACGACATGCTCGTTGGTGTACTCCGTGTTGTTACACGAATACACCTGTTTGATGGTATTCCGTACTGCACACTTCCTGGCAAATGCAACGTTTTGGTCATCAGTAGGACTGGCACAGATTCCCAAGAAATTATTCAGATATATCTTCTCATTGGTGAAGATTTTTTTCCTTCCCCTGATGAGTTCTTCTGCACTGTCTAGGCTGGACTCAACATAAAGGTGTATGTCATCCTTTTCTCCATCGACGAATGGACTTAAACATAACCACTTTTTAAAATTCACTTTAAAAATGTATAAATGATTTTTCGTTAAAACAAGGAAGAAGAGTTTCCGCTTTCTCGTGCTGTCCGTGCTTCTCCTAAAAATGTTAAACTGTTCTTCGTTCGATTCGGCTCCAGAGTATGGTATCTCTTCATGGTGGCTATGTGTACCACTAGACCCGCTATAACCCGGGTCTGAAGTGGGTTCGGATTGGAGAGACCCTTCATTTGGCTGTTCACCATTGCCTAGGTTGTCTATCCTTTTGTCCCTTGGCTTTCTCCTCCCTTTGGGGCACTCACTTGGTTTCACCTCCTTATACGCAAAAGACGTTATAATAACGTTCCGTATGTTCATGTGCCTCTTCAGGTTATTTGTGAAGACAGTATCTTGTACCAAGTCTACCTTCGTTTCGAGACTTCCCCCGGATAAAAATTGCGAGTAGGAAATTATCTCATCGCGAAAGTGTCTATTAACGCTTATGAATACGTCATAGAGTTCGTAGCTCTTATCGCCCTCGTGACTTATGTAACCGAAGACGAAAAAGTTGTCACTATGCTTGCTCAGGCATATTCTAGTTATGTTTGTGTATTTTTTCTCGGATTGGATTACTAGTTTGATGTCTTTATCTTCCATTATGTTTTCTTCAAAGTTGTCTGGGATATAGACCAGGTAGTACTTGTCCAGTCCGATGGCTAGGAAGTACCATTCGACGGCTACAGAGAGGGAAAGAAGTACAACGCGTCAGTCAATGCACAAAACGGGGTGTACACACAGACAAATTGGTGAATTTCAAATGTGAACGGAGCGACGCGTCCAAGGGGGGAATGATGATCATCCATCATTTGATTGCCCCCATGAGGCAGTTCCTCCTGTTTGGGGCGGAGCGCTGCCTCGAAGCAGTTGCCTCTTATCTGCTGCATCTTTACTGCCACGTCTTACCGTTCTCCCGCACGTAAATCACTGGGGAAATGTGATAAACCTGCGCGGGGACGTGCCTCTCCAGAGACAGCTGATTCTGCAGGACGATCCGCAAGTATATCAGCTTCTGATACAGAAAAAGGGCGTGAATGACGGACCTCCTAAAGAGGATCTTGTGAATATATTTCTTATAATTGATAAAGTACAAAATGAAGTACTTCAACTTTTTGGAAAAGCACATCAAGTACGATAGGGTGAAGAGCGTGTAAAAGAAGATGGTGTGAATGGAGGTAAAATTTTTCCTGTGGTAAATATAGGAGGCGTAGACGGACCCGTGGTGGACGCTATTAATGTATATAAACAGGTAAAGCAGCAGAAGAATATTATTTTTGTAAAAGAAAAAGAACAGGGAACAGTCCACACACCATTTCTGGATTTCGCTGTAGTGAGAAAATTGAATATAAATAATTTTTTGCGTAAAAAAATAAAAAAGCTGACAATTTTCTGCATAAAAATATTGCTCCTTGTCCGACAAGACATATTCCTCACTGATAAGTTTGTTAATAAATTCTCTACTCAGCAATTTACAGTAGTAGAAAAAAATGTTGTAAAAAATTAACATGTCCATGGACTCCACTGCCGTCAAATTCTGCTTCAAAATTTCGCTATACAGATGAAAGAAATGGGCATATACGCTACAGTCGTAAAAAGTGCACTGCGCTAGAAGGTTTATCATCGTCTTAAGGACAGTCGTCTTTAAAAAAAATTCCTTCACCCGTAGATAGTGGTCGTGTTCATTACTGTTTAGGCTGTTTGTTAGGATGCTGAAAAATATGCGCAAGAATGTGTGCAAAATGTGGGCCACATTTATTTGCCCTTTGTTGCAATTTACAAAGAGGCCTCTTTTGCTAAATAGAAATATGTCCAAGTGGTTAGTCTTCTGCTCGTAAATTTTTTCCTTTTCAAAGGACAAGAGTTCACAGGAGATTTTGTCTAAGACCGTTTTGTTTGGATCTTCCTCTTCGAGGGAAGAGGCTGAAGATTCGTCATCACGGTGGGAGGATTCACTGCTGGAGAAGCTCCTCCCAGGGATTTCCTTATTATCACCAAGCGATACACTCTGGGGGGAGAATTTCCCCGTTCGTGGTATTTCCCCTTCCATTTGACTTGCACCATTGTTGACACTTTTGACATCCCTCGCGAGTGAGTCGTCCAGCGACCCATCAGATGATCCCCTTTTCAAAATTGTAACATCAGGAGGATTCTTTCCGAGGTAGACATTTCCCCTCGCGGGACGAATCGTTTTTTTTTTCTTCACCACTTTGGGCATTTCGAACATGTGCTCAAGATTACACTCGATGTCATCATCCACGAGAGAAATGTCAAATGTTTGCTGGAAGTTATTATTGTGTAGCCACAGAAAGAGTTTCCTCTTTTTGTTCTTTATGTTTTGCAACTCATCAAAGAGAGGCGTACCTGCCTTGCTATTCCTTCTCTCCATTTGTTCAGGTAGAATTTTTGATCTGATCTGTTTCTCCCTTAATTTTAATTTGGAAATTTTCCTTTCATATTTCAATTTGTTAAACTTTAGCACCCCGGGGAAGTAATTTTCCTGTTGCTCTTTCTTCAATTCGGCGAAGATATTTTTCTCGACAAACGCGTGCAGCAGAGTGTACAAATTGGTCATATGGAATTTGACGAATGTTTGAAGCTGCTTCTTGTAATCTTCAAGGTCGGCGTTATTCATCATGTAAAAATATTGCAAAATTTTTCTCCTGTTCCAGTGTTTTTCTTCCAGAGTGCATAATTCGAATATGTTGCAATGTGTATCTGTCTTGAACTGATAAAAGTAACCACTGAACATGTCGGCCATGCTGATTAAAAGACGTAAACATACCTTTTTATCCTTTGCAATGTTATTTTTGAGTAACGCTTTGAAGACATTTTCAATGCTGGAACACCACGTCCGTTCGATTAAAATGTCGTAATCTACGTTTATTTCGCTAAACAGGATGTCTTCACTTGTCAGTACGTTTATAAAGTAATAGCTCACGGAGTTGTTTCTCATGAAGTATCTCAGGAGGGGATACCTGGAGCACATGCGTAATAACTCCACGGTTATCTTGTTTAGGTCAATTTCTCCATCATCGGAGTGGGCGTTAGTGTTCGCCTCTGGGTGCTTATACTCCGCTTCACCCCCTACGTACTCGCCGTGTTCCCCCTGAGCTGCTCTGTTCTCTTTTAATATCACGAAATCGTTTTTCCTGTGGAGGATAACCGCCCTCAAGAGGAACTGATTCATAATGCGTAGAATGCCTGTAAGGGTTTCCTCGAATTTGTACTGATCTACAATTTTGGAAATTTCCTCATTTTTTATTACCTTTATGTATATCTTGACGCAGTAGTAGTAGATTTCCTTCCACTTTTCGTTCACCGTGATTTCCCTTTCACGGAGGAGGAAGAATATTTTGTGGAATTCGATGGACTTGCAGTCGTCAAATGGGATCAGGTGAATACACCTGAGGAGGCGCATCACCACATCTTCGTTTTGGCTTTCTGGGGGGCAGACAGGAGGTGTAACGGTGAGAGATTGTCAATAGAGGGGACGCAACGGAGGCGATGCAATTGAGGCAATACACCGGAGGCGTAGTAAACGGCGCCTGTCGCTTTGATTATCGCAGAGACTCACCGAGGCAGACGAGCAAGTAGTAGTTAATGTCGCTGTTCTTGAATGCCTTCTTCACCTTGATGGTGAATTTATCTACGTCCTTCAAAAAGAAAAATGCGAAGATGTCAAGAGTGTGCTTGACGACATCGTGTAGGTAGACTTCCACGTCCTCATCGGCCTTGTGGTAGTAGCGAAGCATGGAGTTATATTTCTGTCCAAAGAGAAATGGTAAGACTATTTTCAAATCCTTCGTGTTCTCTAATATATACTCAATGTTCTTTTTGTACAACTCTTCATTTTTTAATACTAGTAATATCCCAGCCAAACTTGCGCTTAAAAAGTACGGATTGCTCATCTCCATTTTAATGGCAATTAAAAGCAGATCGATAAAGTGGTGAGAGTTGCACAGCTCGAACAAAATTCCCTTCTCAAATGTGCAAATGTTATTTATCGTATTGAGGATTATATTGCAAAAGATGGATTTTTTTTTTTCAAAATGAGTCATAAGATCTTTTTTTATTATTTCCTTGATTTTCTTGAAATAGATATTTAAGTGCATCTTTTCCTTTACCAACATTGCGCAGTGCTTCACATGATTCCCGCACAGTTGCTGTACGATTCGGTACACCGTCTCCAGGTCGAGGGGCACCTCTTCGAAGTTTTCTTCCTCACGTTTGGTCATCTCCGCGGTGAGGATCTGCGGGACGGAGGTGCTACATGGGCGTCCATATTGGAGAGCACATACGGACATATGCATACATGTGAGTAGAATTGTCATATATGCAAGGCAGGGGAAAAAGACAGCTTATCCGATAGGCGACCTACTGGATTAAACGCTAAATGGACCGCGGAATGGACCGCGGAATGGACCGCGGAATGGACCACAAGACGGACCACTCAACCCAAAGGAACGTACCTTGAGGAGCCCCTCGTCGTAGGCTATTAGGCAGTTGTGCCGATCCAACGTCGCCACGGAGAGGAATCGCAAAATGTGCTCATCAAAGGAGCCCCCCAGCAGCTTGATGACTTTATGTATGCAACTAGTGAAGCTTCGCGCGATCGCTTTATCCCTTGGCATGTGCTGTAGTCCCTTGAAAATATTCTTCAGCGTTTCTTTCTATGGGGGGAGAAAAAGAAAAGGGGCGAAAGGGGGAAATAACCCATCGCGGAAATGGTGACGCTAAATAAGTCGCGTCAGCATTGTCATGGCTCGGTAGACCGCATCGCACGCACACAGGTACGTATGGAAGAACACAAGAGAACATTTGTGCACTCCTTCCAATTGTCGTTTCTCACCTCGGCCGAGTTCAGCACGGCCCCCGCCACAATTTCCTCGAAGATCGAGTGCACGTCATACTTGTATTCCTCGTTGTACGCCAAGTCGCAGAGAGTGCGCAGAATTTCGACGTTCAGATCGAAGGCATTGATAAATATTAACTTGGAAATTGCGTAAAGAAATGTGCTCCTTGCATCTTCATATTTTTCAACGATGATTAATATTCTGTCCAATATCTGGTTGGCCTTCTTCTTCTCCTTTTCGACATTTTCATTTTTTACAAAAAAGAATTTCCGAAAGTTCACTGGATCCTCATAACATAACGTTGTTAATTCATTTAATATGTTCACATATTTCCAATAGGAATTTTCGTGTATAATTATTCCTTCGATTAGGTTTAAAATATTTTCGCTGTGGCTAAAATTGTCATCCTTTTCTTCATTTGAGGTGTTCAGATTGTTCAGTATCTTTTTTATCATTTCGGCGGTGGCTACGGGTTAGGGTTATGGTACATTAGAGTTATGTCATATTTGGGTTATGGCTGCCTTGTCCTGTTTGGCTTTCCTACTTCCAATTGAGTGGGTCACTGTCTAATGGGTGAGCGTGTCTGGAGGGGAGGGCTATATCCACGCGTACGTCGCGTGTGTATCTTCTTCGAAGGAATCTTCTCACGTTTGATGTCTCGTTTGAGGGCATATCTGCCCACCTTTTTATTTTTTCAACCCACTGGCCAGTTAAGTGAAGCCACAGTTTGCTTATTTGGTCTTCTTCGTGCAGGTGAAATGAGGACACAATAGTGGGCGTTTGTAATAATCTGATAACAGGGGGGGGTACATCTGTGGTGGTAGTGCTAAAGTGAAGGAGAAATCACATGAAAATTTGCTTGAGCTATAAAGAAGGGGGAGTGTAACAAAAAGAGATGGCGTCCGTTCAGGTGAGAAATGAGGTAGCAACGAGTAGGCACATAAGATTACTCCTACTGGATTATTAACCTGGGGACAACTCACAGCTAGCGTAAAGAACCAGGCCCCCTTTCAACCTTGTAAGCGTCAAATTGGGTAATTCAACGAGAAAAAAAAAAAGAAAAATGCTTGGATCATGCTTATGTGAGTGTCAGTCCTTGGGTGGACAAATTTACAAATAATTACAAGGGAGTTATTGAAGGGCCAAAGAAATGAACAAAAGGGGGGCAGTCATTCATTTACACAAATGGCAAAGTAGGCCGATCCTAGCGAGGAGGCACTACTCATTTATTTCATTTTGATATTATACCTTCTTAACGTTTGTTACGCCCCAAAGGATTTCCCCCAAATGTAACTTTTTTTTCGACTCCTCATTTCCCGAATAATGGCATTCCTCCTTTTTTTTTTTCTTTGCTAAACGCCTCCTTATGGCCAAACTAGTACAGACAAATTCACATGCTGCTGCAGCTACCCAGCCGTTTCCCCCGCATTTGCTATGTGAGGACAGTTTGTGTGTGCCTCGAAATTTTTGTTTCATCTTCTGTTGGGGTCATTCTGCCTGTTCTCCCTGTGCACCTTTTCAGCTACCTGTGGTTGACAATTTGAGAGCGCATTTGTGGAGGTAGTAAAAAACGTGGCATACATAAGCATCGTATGCGTGGGCGAATATATTGCCGCTTAGACAATTAGGGATGAAAATGTATAAGCTCCAAAAACGGGAAACCAAGAAGCGTTTTTTTCGAGGATTTGCGCATTTGCGTAAGACCCAACCGGGTGGGTATTTTCCTGTGTGTATAGACCGCGAAGTGGTCGTAAAAGAAAAACGAGCCAAAATTAGTTGAAAAATTCATCTCCAAAATGTATGTTGCTTTCGAGAAGGCCATAAGGACAACAACTGAGTCAGGATGATGAAGGAGAAACGTGATTCGATCGGATAGGAAGGAAAAGGGCAAAACGTTGGAAAAAAAAGGCGCAACGTTGGAAAAAAATGCGAAACGTTAGAAAAAAAAAGACGAAATGTTGGAAAAAGAAAGGCGAATCGCTGGAAAAAAAAAAAAAAAAACGCTAATAAAACACACTTTTCACCCGTGCTAAACAGCACTTTAGGAAGAAAAACTAAAGCGTTTTTCTCTTGTTTTTGCTTTACGTTCATAAAACGCTTTTGCCGCAACTGACTTTGTTTAAAATTAGTTGTCTTGGGATACTTCCTCTGTACCGCTTCGCTGCCAATAGGAAGTGGCGGAGGGTGAAGAACCTTTGTTGAGCACATAAAACTTCGCAGCTCTGCGAGTTACATGTGCTAGCTTGTTAAGTTTGTCCTGTTCTGTCCCATCTTTTACTCCCTCTTTTGCACAATTTCTTTCTTCTACTTCCTTTATGTACGATGCCCCTTTCCCCGTTCATGGGCCCGCTGCAACCCTTCCTGGAACTGAGAAAAAGGAGGAACAACTAACCCGCGTACTTCATTGTATGAAGAGATGTTCACATGCACACGAAATATAGGGAAAATTGCAGTACCGCTAGCATAAACAAATTTTTCACGAGCGAAAGATAAACCATGTGCCATGAATACCGTTAAGTGCTATGGGCGTCTTTTACCTGCGTCCAGATTAGACAATGACCGACATGAAGAGAAGAAATTTTTAAAAAGTGAACTAATTCTGACCAAAATGTATGGAGAGAAAATGTCCAATTTGAAGATTTATAATGATATACTTAAAAAGAGGATAAAGAAATTAACAGATGGAGTGAGTAACTTATTCATTGTTTTAAATAATGAGGAGAAGGACGGAACGATGTTAACTGTAGGGGATGGAAACACTTCCTCTGGGATTCTTTTTTACCTCATTAACGATTTGGTACATGGCAATCGGTCCAACTGTAAGCTCCTTATCACGTTTAGCCATTTCGAAATTGTGAGAAATAGGGTGAAAGATAAATTGAAGAGGTATGTCCTTCCTCAGAGAAACATGATCGACATTGGCAATTGTTTGGGATGTGAGACGGGAAACTACGACTGGATTAGAAGCAGAAGGAGGGCTCACAAGGATGGTAGCCCCTCCAGTGGGTACCCCCTAGAAGCTGAAAGGAATCAATATGTACAGAAAAAAGAACGTTACCATGGAGGGAACTTAGAAAAAAGGGAGACAAATGATCCCTGTGGGATGTGCACCGAGTGGGAAGATAATCGACTGGTTAACTCGGATGTCCTCTTCGATGTTGACAGTTTTGTAAAAGGAAACAAAAGCGAAAAATACGGAAGGAGGCACACGAAGCGGAGAAGTACAGGAGAGTGGGACCCCACTGCTGTGAGAAAGGTGTATCTAACTGGAAAGAATATACGGCATATCTTTAAAATGCTATGCAGAAGCGGGAGGGGAAAATCCGTGGGGGGCTTCTGCAATGAGGTGACCTACGAGGTTGTTGAGTTCCACGCGGAGACGGCACAGGGGAGGGGTCCAGACGTGTTGGGTGTGAGAAGCTATTCTGATGGGGGGATCGATTCTGGCGTAAGCAACAAATCGTCCATTTGTCGCAACTCGCCCGTTTCCACCTGCTCGGTAACCATCATGGTAGTTAACAACCTGAAAAGGGCGGACTCCTCGGAACGAGCCTTCCTTTCCCACTTCTGCGAGCTCTTCCTAAAAAGGAGAGAAGACGCGAATCGCCGAAGAGCCCCAAATGTAACTTGCGAAAAGGGACACTCACTAATAATTAAGTATTTGTTCAGTTTGTACAAATTGCCTCCTTTAAGACGAAGCGTCACGGGGGTGAATTCCCTCCCCTTTGAGCTAAACTTTATATACATTTCCACCAATTTCAAGAAGTACAGAACAGCTAGCGAATTTATTTATGCCTACTTAAAACGTCTGAACCGGTCCGAATGTTTTGTACAATCAAATGAAAAACTGGAGTATCTAAAAAGTGGATTTCACAAAGTGGATGAAAATATTTACGTAGTTAAAAGTCTATTGAATTATTACGCAAAATTGGAGAGACGGGGTGGAGAAATTAACCGGAGGATCGCTAACTTGAGGAATTATCTTACCATATTAGAATCTTCTGTAATTCTTGGAGCGAAAAGAAGGTCCCACGACGCATGGACTGAAAACAGAATCAACAACGTTTTAAACATCTGTAGGAGCAGCACCTTCGAATCGGGTGAACAAATCGAAGTAGAAACAGACAATTCCTGTTGTTTAGAAAAGGAAAATTTTTTCTTTTCTGACAAGGAATGGAGGATAAGACGACATTACAGGGAGGCTGAAAGAGAAAGACAACATGGGGGCAAATACGAAGATAGCGAAACTTCCCCAAGAAGTACACAGATGAAGGAGAACGCGAAAGGGGAGGACAATCATTTAAGGAGTGTAAAAAATGTAAGGGAAATAAAAAAAGGAAAGCATAATCCGGATAACATCCACTTCAAATTAAGTTTGTACAAAAGAGGGAGAACAAATCTGGTCGGAAATGGGGATCACTCTAGAATGGAAACTGACTACTCAAGTGGGAATGCCAATTTGGGAAAATGCAAGCAACACTGTTATAAACACGTGAGGGGGAAAAAGAACAATATGCTACAGAATTCTTGTACGAAAAAGGAACAGACAATTTTGGTAGACTCTAATTCGTACAGAAAATGTATCCACGTCAAATATCAATCTAGCGGGACGTACACACACTGCGCAAACGATGACCCTTCAAAATGTAGGGTAAAACTTTTTTTACGGAATGACGAGGATTTACTTCATTCCCGCCAAGTGGACGAGCTTAACCATGGTCTTTTCACTAGACCGAGAACCCCTATGCAGAATTTTGTGCCTACGAATGGAATGAACCCAAAAAAGATCCATTCATCATGTATGGATCCGTTCAGCAATACCATGGAGGTGGATAACCTATGCGATAGGCCCATTGTCAGTCATAAGGGGAAGGAAAAGAAATTCCTGCCCTGTGACATACTTGGCATGCCTTACTCGAATGGGTCAGCTAGCTCGTGCGAGGAAAACGAGAAGCAGCTCGAATCCGTTCTACACAACATGGAACAGAATAGAGATTTCCTGAAAAGCATTTCCACCTTAAATTCGGATATTAAGAAGGGCAGGAAAAAGATCGACAACCGAGCGAGGAGCTTATTCGAGCAAGTGGATCAGTGTCTCAGGGAGGACACGCGCGGTGGCGAGGGCAGACCAGGGTTGGAGAAGCAGCGGTGGAAGAAGCAGGTGAAGAGACAGGAGAAGAGGCAGGAGAAGCGGAATGATCTGGGACAGTACCGGGAGCTGGAGAGAAGGGACCACCCGAACGCAACAATCGAAGTGGTGCAAAAAAATGGAGAACCTCAAACGGGTCGACAAGCAGGGAAGCAGAAAAAAACGAAGAAGGACGATACATGTGTAGAGATGCAGGTAAAAAGAGGATTCAGAAAATTAGCCTTACAAGAATTTGCCAAATGGAAGCTAACAAGTGGGAAGAATAATCTCAGCTGCTCTAGAAAAGGGAACAAGTCTGGAAAGTCTGGGAACAGCATCGATGGGCATAAAAAAGTGGAAAAGTCCAATAACAGTCTAACTTTGCCCATGTCGGCGGGAAAAGAGACGAATAAATTTGATAACTCCGATGAGACCTTCTCAAAAGCTGACCCCATAAGTGATCCTCTGGACACCCTGATACATCAGTCTTCTCTTGATACAGAAGAAGTTGATATTAAATCTAAGTGTGACAAGTTCCCCGCAGAAGGACTTAGTAGTAAGCATATCTTCGATAAGACAACTAGCACAACTAATAAATTACCTGACAAAGGAAAAGAAAAAAAAACACGAAATTGTGTGGAACACCCTGTCCACTTAAATGGTTGCAAAATGGATAAGAAGAGCCTAGAACGTATCTTTTCCCCTACCAAAAGAAGGGATTCCAATTTGGCTTCGGATGCAAACGAATTAAACGCTCTCCATTCGAATAACCATTGGTTAGGTCAAAATGGAGGTAGCATAAAAAAACAAATCAACATGGAAGAAAATAGGCGAAAAATCGAGGAAGATTTGCTTTTCGAAGAGCGCGCTAATTGCAATGGTGAACACATTTCTATGTGCCCTGGAGAATGGCAATGTGGGGGGGCATCCAGGATGGCTGCAACTGGCGCACTTACGCATGTTTCATATCGTAAGGGTGATGATAGGGGAAGAAACACAATTAAGCAGGCGCAGGAGGAGGAAGAAATTCACGTGCGTTCGTCGAACGAAAACGTATTCTCATTTTCATCAAAGAATAAAAACGAGATGAGCAAAGGTAACCACTACTGCAGCAGTCAAGCTATCGACGATGATATAGTGAGTGGATGCACATTAGACGGAGAAACAATCATGGCAGCATCACCAAATGGGATAAACAAGGACACAATAAAGGGATCTAACAGAATGGCGAAGATGAGAAAAAAACGACAAAACTATAGTTGGGATTGTGCAGATAATGAAAATGTGACGGTGGCCAGTTCAGGCTCGCCATCAACAGGACAACTCAGAAATGTCAGCGATTCCTGCGAAGAAGAACTGGACCAAAGCATTGAAAATTATCATAATAATTTTAAAAAGCTGCTAAAATCGCATATGAATTTTCTACAGAAAAAATGTGTAAACGATAACAACGATTTGGAGCTTCTGAAAAAGATAAAATTTGCAAAAGGAGTCCTGCGAGAGTATAACAGAGTTTTGGGCCGCAGTCCGAATGGCAAGCATGAGCAGAGCGTACTTATGCGTCAAATTATTTCGAACGGATGGGGAGTCGAAGAGACAATGTTTGAGCAACACTGCGGGAGGAGTCCCACTGATAAGTACTCAGAATGTGTAGACATGGGAAAAAATTACAAAGATGGATTTTTAAGAAAAAAGAATAAAACAACTGATAGTGAAGTGGTGCGAAAAGGAATGCACCCCGGAAGAGATGCGAGGAGTGCAAACGGAAACCATGAGGAGAACGCGGATGGAAACGATGTGGGGAGTGCAGATGGAAGGGATGCGGGGAGTGTTGACCGAATCCATGAGGGGAATGAACAAGAAAGTGCGAATGGGGTGGAACACACCGAAAGGTGTAGTGTCCAGACGAGTACTTCTCCACACCATACTGCTAGAAGTGTCTACGTCGATAAGAATTCCCTCCCGGCCTGCAAACCCAAGGAGAACAATTATGGCAACAGTGACCATGAGGACAATTTTGACGAGGCAGAAATTGAAAACAGTTATACCCGAGAGGGAGAATATTTCCAATGGGAGAAACCCCCATTGCTCGTCAGTACAGAAACACAAGAAAACATATCCAGTGAGAATGGTAGAAATGTTAATGCGTCTGCACAGTACGATGAAGAAAATGTCCCCAGGGATGATCCTCCTCACGGAGGAAACGTCATCACGTGTGACCCAAATGACATTTACAATGAATATGAGGAAGAACCATTTGGGGAAGAAGAAAGGAGCGCCTTACCTGTTGACAATTTAGACGAGTTACAAAATGGAAGAGGGGCCAGCTCACAGGGAAATTACCCCTCAAAATCTGGTAGCTGGGAGAACCCTCCCCCCGGCAATGAGGATAACGAGGGAAAACGCAATAGTGAAAGCGGAGAAGCGGACAGAATTGGACATGTGATGGATGAAGACATGCACAAAAGTGACAATCTGGGAAACTCACATAGGGGCAAACTATTTGCGCAGAGAAGTTTCAGTTCCATGTGGGACGAAGTTGAAGATGTTGTGGCAGAGGACTCCTTCATGAAGGTCGAAAGCAATCCATCTGAAGATACATGCGAAAAAACAACTCTACATAGCCACGCAGTTATCCGAAAAATAAGGAGAAAAAAAAAAGTGCTGAGAAGTGCCATACAGGATGAGGAAAACAAATTAACTAGACATTCCTCAAAAAAGAAGAAACTAATGTCCTTCATTTTGAGGGCCATAGAAAGAGGCGAAAAGGATGAACAACTGCTCGCGATTGTAAGAAGTGCGATATTTAAGGTGGAATATTTTGAGCAAAAAAAAATAAGCAAATTGAAGAGGATGGAAAAGGAATTTGAAAAGTTAACTCATGTAGAGGAAAAAATGGTTAGTAATTTTCTCATGAGGAAAAGTCAATTTAGCGGGAAAAAAAATAAAGGGGGAGAACTTCGCAACAGAACGGTAGGGCGCAAAAATGGACACGAGGGGAAAGACGACAACGAGGTTTACCAAAGGTGTGGAAGCCATCTCGACGAAAGGAAAAATAAAGACGCACATAGCCATGAAGAAAAGCGAAACAATAAAAATGTGGAAAACCATTTTCAGAAGAAATCGCAAAAGGATCACCAAACCCGTGATGTGCATCCGCTCCGCGGTGGGGAAAAAAAAGAAAAAAAAAATAACTGTGCACATTTGGACGCGTTTCAAGAGGGTCGTGTTTGCAACAATTTTTTCAATTTAAATGACTACAATAAGGAAAGCAAAAAATCGATCGCATTTTCCGACTTGTACGTAAATTTGAAAAAGGAAAAACACAGCACCTCACCGGTGGACGCAGAACAGCCGATGCGAGTTGTTCCTTCTCTTCGTGTGGCAAAGTTGGGTCAAGAGGCGCTGATTGAAAAAAGCCCAAGTGAGCGCATACCGCCAAGCGGTTACTTGCACCCTAAAAAGGAGCAGGACACCCCTAGAGACCATCATAACGGGGGAGGCCGCGGCACTGGTGGAGGTAAAGGCAGAACATGCTTTACGCTAGAAGAGGCGAAGAAGTGCGACGCACCTTTCCAAAATTGTGGGGATACCGCCGACGGTTGGCCTAAGCTAAGCGGAAATCGGTTGGACGGGTGCCAACAGCACATAGGGTATTTTCCCCTCTTCAATGATAACAGCGCACGGGAGGATTTCCCCCAATGGGACAGGGACTTTTCCAAAGAAACAGATAAAAATAGAGATATAAATAGAGATAAGAATAGAGATATAGATGGAGATATAAATAGAGATAAAAATAGCACCAGAAATATAACTGTAGCGTACAGAGATATCAGCGAAGTACGGGGGTCCTCCCCTCGCAGTAGTCATACCTTTAAGCAGAAGATAAAGGGAAAAAGGACCAAGTTGGGACTATCCTATGACAGATCGTTGGAGGGGCAAAATATAGTCCCCCGAAAAAGGAATCCCGCGAAGGAGTGCACAACTAAAGAAGCGGAAAATTTAAGATTGAATTCCTTCTGCTTCTCCAACGGGGGTAGAAGCAAAAGGGAGGCAATATTGCCATCCACTGAAGGTGGCGACAAATCGACACGCCGCTTCCAAGTCGGGGTGAAAGTCCCACTGACTGGGGAGAGCGTACCGACCGGCGAAAGACACAGAAGTGGGCAAAACATACCTGATAAGGGAGGAAAAAAAAAAGGGAAAAATATCCATAGGGAAGAAGAAAAAAAGGAGAATAAGGGTGGTAAGGAACACTCCGCTTGGGGGGTAGATTTAGGGGATGCCAGAACTGAAAGAAGACCCCGAAGTAATCAGATTGAGAAAAATAACATACTAGGAAATTCAAAGGACTTTCACGTAAGTGTAAGAATGGACCCTCCACGAGGTAACGGTTTGCAGAGAAAAGGTTCATTCCGTAGGCGAGACGTAAACAGGGGATTTTTCCCCTTAGAAAATCCGCCATCCAGTTACACCTCATTTTGTTACGCACCACGTGAAGCTGGATACCCAGAAATGATTCCCCATTCGTCTACCCTGAACCACCAATGTGTAGTCTCACGAAATTGGGATGAAACGAAAAGGATTGCTGGAAGCCCTCTCGCCAGATGCCAAGCCGAAAGGTGCGAAGAAGAAGAAGCCGAAGCAGAACAGATCAGACGGAACAGGCACCAGCGGAACTTCATAAATGTGAAGCATAAGTCGACGCCCGAAACGAAAGGAGACAAAAATGTGGAACAAATTTCAGTCAAAACGGTTATTAATCGCCAGAGAGAAAAAACCATCCCGTGCATTAACTACGATACTAATAGGTATAGCTTCAAATTGGGGTGGTGGAATTGGGGGAAAAAGTCGAAGATACTGGAAAATATAGGAAGGTGTAAGGAAAACATTAAAGAGAAATACTATCAAAATAGGAGAGAGTGCAAACATAGGTCCTCTACCAATTGGACGAGCAAATATTTTACAAAGTTCCAACCAAACGAATATTTATACATTCCTGTGACGAACAAGAACTATTTTCGGAGCAAAAACTCCCTTAAGATTAGGAGCAACCCCGTGAGCGATTTCCACAAAGTCAATTTGAAACCCATAACTGGGTTTTTACAATCCTATGAAAAGGAAAGGCAACGACAAAAACAAGTCCCACGAGCAGTCATTAGAGTGTCTACCGTTCCTTACGTTGTGGAAGATTATAATGTGAAGAGGGGCTTACCCAAAATGGGGGGGAAAACGGGTGTCAGCTTGGGAGAGTCAAACATCCTCCTTTCGGAAGATGAGGAATCCAATTTGAATAACACGTCAGGGTTTTTCGCCAAGGTGTCCAAGAAGAATGTCCCCGGGGGGTGCTTTCCCAGTGGGTACTATCCCAATGGACGTCGCAGCTACTCCAGGGGCACCAACTCGAATGATGAGAAAAACTCCAAGGGAATTATATTCAAGTGCAGGACGAAGCAGGCTCATAAAATGGGCATCAGAGAGAGCAACAGTGGAGCCGCCCATGGGAGAAGGAATTCTAAAGCCAGGTTATATAACACTGGGAATGACATAAATGAGGAAACGACACACACTCGTAGGCACGGCAAAGCGCATAGCGGTGGGGAAGGATCGAATGAAAAAGACGAGTTGGGTCAAAGGTGGGACCCACAAAAAAAGACTACCGTGAAGGTAAGGCGATATAGAATTCCCTCCATCGAATCGCTTCCTTCCGTGCGCAGTGCCCCAGGGAGACCTCCCCAGGAGTGCAGCCTCTCTATGGTGCGACTATCCTCTGGGAGCACTGCAAGCGGCAGCGCAGGGAGTAGCAAAGTCGTAAGTCCCACTAATGCCAAATATAAGGTCAATTTGAAATCTAAGAAAAGGGAGGATTATCCACAGGGGGAGGATCCGAGACATACACCCTCATCCCAATGTAGCAACAAATCAGAAGTGCCAAACAGTAGCAGGCGCAGTGGTAGCAGCTGCTATAGTACATCCTCAGTGGGAATCCCAAATGCGGCATTTCAAGAAGATGCCAAAGGAGAGCTACTCATGTATGCGGCCCAGAGGAAAAAATTCACAAATTATGACGAGAATGATGAGGAAAATCTATCCAGACGAAGTTACAAACACATGAACATAAGTAGCAAAAGGGAGTATCCCGGATACACAACTAACCAGGACACCCATTTTAACATGTACAGGGAAGGTTACAAAAGTATGCAGAGTGAATTAGGAAGAAATCGTCATATAATAGAATGTGATGGAAGCAAGAGCAGAGATTCTTCCGCGGCTTCAATTGCGAAAGCTTCAGGGGAAGGCCCATACAGAGGGCACCACTGCCCAAATGAGATAAACCAACTGGACTACTTACAACCTGATAGCTGTCACAGGGAAAAAAGAGAAAACAGAAAGAAGCACAGCTGTAAAAATGCCCATCACAATTCTTACCCTCGTAGGAATGATGGTTACTACGAGGGGCAGCATAGAGATAGGGTCAACCCTGAGACACATGGAAGGAAGGGGCACGATGCCGATTATTTGGAAAAGCAGTACGATGAGTATTTTTACGATAATTAGAAGGGGAACATGGAAGTAATTAATAATGACAGAGTTGTCGGTGGATCAGGGCAAATAAACTTTGCCAGAAGTTTCCCTTTTCGTGTCCCACAATTAAGCAAAGCGTTAGCATGGAAGCGGTTACTGGTTGGCATTATATTTTAATCAGACGTTTTGTTTTTTCTCTCTCTAACTATCTCGATTTCAATATTAATTTTTATTTTTTTTTTTTTTTTTTTTTTTTTTTTTTTTTTTTTCCTTTTCGTGCACACGTTCGTCTCATTAACAATTAACCTGTTCCCATAAACTGTAAGAAAAAAAAAATTATGCTTCGAACAATTGAGAGGCTACCATTTTTTTCTAAAAAAATGCTGTACCGCTATGTGGGGAGGAATGCTGACCTCGGGGGGGAGGGGCGTCCTCATTTCCTGTTCTCTGAAAACTATGACGTTGTGGAATGTTGAACGTTTATGCCGATGTGTAATTGCACCTTCGATAAAAAAATTAAGACTTGAGCTTATATACGTGTACATCTTTGGTGCGTCCAAATAGAGTAACAATTCTCCCGCGTGGGGTGGGAGACTTCTTGGCCTATCTATGCACTGAGCAGGTGTTCACCTCATGGTGCATTCTTTGAAAAAAAATACACATGTCGCGGAGTGGAAATTTACCTGAAAAGAAAAAATAAAATAAATCAATCGGATGAACGGTTAAACTAATAAGGAGCTCCTATTTACGTGTTGTCTTATCCCATCCGCAACGGATTCGTTAAATTTTTGCCAATCGAATGGAGATTTTTATTTTATTTTTATTTATTGTTATTTTTTTTTTCACCCTTCTGCTACACTAAGCGCAGCTAAGACCACAAATCGTTTTACTCCTAAGGGGGCATCACCATTTAGTGGTACAATGTATGTACACGAATGGGAGGAAAAATAAAAAAATGCCTCCTACATTGTTTGTTTCGTTTTGTCTAAAAGATTCACCTTGTGGATGTTTCATGTTCACCATTTTGTTTCAAATGAAAGGATGGAAAGTCCTGCTTTTTTGTCTTACATGATGGCGAGATAATTGTATTCGTTTAATTTTTTTTTTTTTGTATTTTCGCCCAATTAGCGAGGTTGCACTGGTGTTACTTCCTCCACTTTGTGTAATTTTTTCATTTGTCCCTGGGCACACCAGATTCCACGTTAACTTAAGGGGCTCTAAGGCCTCCACTGAATGCCGCCATAAATTACGCAGCATAATTTTTTACCATTCACTTGTTACAACGCAATGTGTGTCATTTGTCCACGGGTGGAGCCAAAGCCAAGTAAAATATAAAAAAGAAACTGCTCGTATCCAACGAATTGCTAGAAATGAAAAAAGGGGTGTCGCAATGGAAGGAACAAAACTACACCAGACAAAATATGAAACGAACGGGTAGGAGATCATGGGGGGAGCCACTTCAGGAATGTCCCTTGTCATTGGGAAGATGTAAATCAAGCGAAGGTGACGAGTTAATGGACGAGGACAGAAATAGGGGAAGCGAATCCGACGGGTCCAGCACCGAAGAGAGGTTGTTTACTCCAAATTATTACAGCGGAAGTAAGAAGAATACGATCAGAATAAAGATAAAAAAAAATCCAAACAGGAATTTACAACACTCGGAGGGGGGAAAGAAAAAAGAGGAACAGAAATCCTTCATCAAATCGCTGATAGGGAAGATAGAAGAAATGTACAAAAAAGGATCACACGATGAGAAAAGAAGCTCACATAAATTGCCACTTGAGTCCAGACCTGCCTTTGTTTTAAATGAATATATAAATGTACAACCGACGAATAACGTGACGTATAGACGTAGGACACCCCACAAGACTCGACGTCGAAGCGATTTCATTGGAATAAATTTAAAGCCCTTTGTTCGATTTAAGAATAATCACAAGTGGGATGACAGTCGTGCCAATCGAAGCGGGGATCCGAGAAAAAGGGCCATTATAAAAATTTCGAGTCAAAGTCCTGACGAAATATTTAACCCCACGTGTATCAATACGAATCGCTCCTCGTCTGGGTACCCTAAACCGGTACATTTTTACTCCCTAAAAAATGATGTAATGGGAGGGAATCTCCCCTTGTGGGGGAGTCAAAGAGTGAAAAACGGAGTAGGTACCTCGGTAGGCACTCTGGGTTGCACTCACCATTTGGGAAAATTAACGCATGAACAATTTAGAGATCCCAATATGCATGACACACCCTTCGTACAGATGAATCCAGTCCAAAGGTGTGCAACGTATAATCCATGGTGTGGGGGAAGCGCCGCGGGGAATGTGAACAAGGGGGGGGGTGTCTACCACATGAAGGGGACCCACGCACATACACGCCGCGATCACAGCACAGAAGAGGGAGGACAGAAAATTAGAGTCAGAATAAATAGAAAGGGATCGGGAAGAAAGAATGTAGGTGATGATGACGGGGAAGATGGCGATAGTGAGGGAAGCAAAACTGAATCTGGCTCAGTGAAGAAACGTACGCACCATGGAAGGAGCTCTCTAGCCAACGAGCATGATCACTTAGTGAAACATAACGAGGGAGACTTACAAGAAAAGGAGAAAAAGAAAAAATTCCTAGTTAACCTGTCTATACCTTTGAACAACCCTAGGGGAAACAATTGCTCGGAAGGGGAAAGAACAACCAATTTGGGTGGCAGCATCAACGGTGATGCCCCCTCCCACGTTTTATTCACTTCGAAAGGAGAAAGAGGAACGACCTTAAATGTGATGAACAGAGCGAATAAAAGAATTAGGCTTCAATATGGAGGGAAAGATGGAGAAGATAAGGAAAGCGCTAAAATGTGTTCCAATTCCACTTCTACGTGGGACACGACAAAGCATAATAAGCTCCTCACTGGCACTTATTCGTCCTTTGGGGGGAGCCAACAGAGCTGCTGCAGGAACCCCACGAAGTGCCATAGAAGCGGTTTAAACATCCATTGTATGCATGGCATCAAAGAGGGAAGCAACTCTTGGTGGAGCACGACAAAGAAAGGGACAAAATTGCAGATGGACGCAGAGGGAACGAAACGGAGGAGTGCATACACGTGGAGTAAAGCTCCAGAACAATATCACGCCCAGTATGAAAGAGGACTTCACAATAAAGAGCATCATAAAAGAATGGGGAACAATTCATCTCACCTTAGGACACAGACAGAGAAAAATGGATGCATAAGGGATGCCCGTGCGGTGAAGACACAGCACACCAATTCGTGTCTTCAATTGGAAGATTATAAAGAAGCGGAAACAGCTGTATCAAGAGAGGGCTTCGAATCAGGTGAATCCAAAAATGAACGCCATAAATACAGAGTGGAAAAAAAAACACACGAACTGAAAAACGAAGGGAAGCTTCTCTTATTAACGCAGCATAATGACAAGTTGGTAATCGATGGTGGAAAGGAGGCACCGCGGCAAAACTGCAAAATGTTAACTTGGGGAACCTCAAATAGTGGCACCCTAAGATACAAAGTAGACAGTATTGCGCGGAAAAAGGGAGAAAAAAGTGCTAAAGGGAATGGAGAGAAGTCCCTTGCTTGTAATAACCCCCTAGAGGGACAACAAAAATATAAAAACTTGAGGACGATTACTATACCGTCAGACAGTGGTGTAGACGGGACGAAGGAGGAACACCCAAGGGGAAGACATCCAATTAAAGATGGTGAGAAATTTAGGGGGGGACACCACATTACGAGTACCTTCGAGTTGTCAAACAAAATAGGTACTCACGAAAATGCAATGGGTAAATACAAGATGGTGAAATACTACAAACCCGGGGATAACAAGAAATGTAGCGGTTGGTCCTGCATCTGCGAAGAGAAAGCGCACAATGATTGCTACAGCGGGGTGGGAGGAAATAAAGGGAGTCACGCAAAGGTTAACCCATTTGGTAATACAAATGCAGTGTTAGAAATAAAAGACAAACAGGGGAGAAGCAGAAGTGTTGCTACAGCGTTGTCAAATAGTCTGCGTCACAAAAAAAGGGAGGAATTTCATCCCCCTGACGAGGCATGTAGAAGTTGCCCTTGGACAGGTTCATCACGAAAGGGGGTACACACAACTGCGATTCCACCAAACGAAGTTGAGATTAGCGATAGTGGCAGCCTTTATAACAATGAAGAACGCCTATACTCGAAAGGAAAGGAAAGGAGCAAAAAATTGAATATGTATTCGAAGGGTAATCCCCTCTGCATAGAGGGAGAAGGAAATTACAACTCGGGGACGATTCACACACTTGACAGATATAAATCGCATAGTGGGGACTACTCCAGTCATCTCCACAAATTTGTGGAAGGTACAGAAAGTGGAGCTCGAGATTGTGCAGTTTGGGAACACAAGCAAGTGGATGACCGAGAAAACTGCTTATGGCACCGTACAGAACAGCCATATGCCCCATCAGGTGAAAAAATTACAAGCACGAAAAAAGACGCGCAGAAAAACGAAAGGCAACAATGTGTTGTTGGTCAATTGGGAGAAGGCAGAATCCAAGTGAGGGCAAGCCAAACAGGGAATACTTCTTGTCGGCAAAAAATGGGAGGAAGGGTAGATGAGGCAATTTTAACCAATCCTGATTTTGAAGAACATACAAACTATAGCATTAACAGCAAAATGCGTCACCCAAGTGACCTCCAATTGGCGTCAAATCGTAAGAAGGATGCGCGAGGGGACAAAACGGAGAAACAAAACGAACACTATATAGAAAGCGACTCCCATCCGCATCACAGTTCTAGAGGCAATTTTGAAAATCCCCAATCGCCGCAGTTGTTTTGCACTAACCGCTTGCAAGGAAGAAGTGAAAAAATGAGGAGTGCTTTATCGGGTGACATTTTTGCACACAAAAGGTGTTCTCCTTCAAGGAGCAGAAGCGAAATGTTAAAATGGGGCCATTCAAGGGAAAGAATTACCAGATCGGGTGAAAGTCGTCACAACAAAGGGGCACACCATGAGGATGAAAGATACGATAAAGGGAGAAGCAGCACCAGATGGGGAAACGCCTCATCTTCCAATTTTTGCGATTATAATGGGATGAACAACATAGAAAGGGTTCTTTACAATTCGGGGGTGGTATCCAAAGAGAGAGAAAATGCAGGCACCGAAGGTGGAAGCGTTGGAGGAAGAAGCCGTAGCAGCGATCGCAGAACAGTTGTGCATTCCTCACAGGGGAGGCATCCCTATGGAGACACCAAAGAAATCGCGGAACGGAGCCTTTATCATGATAGTAACAATAATATGTCGTCTTCTATACGTGGCGGTTCGACAAAAAACGGAAGGCGGCATTTTCCCGTCGGTACTACACCTAATAGCTGCGTGTACATGTCGCACCTCAGTGGAAGCGCCATGACGTCGAAGAAGCCAACCGTCATAAATAGCGATGTGCACAGTGATAAGAGTGGTGGTACGCACGACAAACAGGTTAGCGTAGAAGAGAGTTTCCACTGCGGGGAAGATAACCCATTGTGTTGTAGCGATAGGGATGAAGCAATAATTCGAAATATTCAGTCGAAGGATGCAGAGAGTGACGTTTATCACATCTGCGAACCGGTTTGTAGGAAGGGAAGGGGTGAAAAGTCCAGCGATCGAATGGTAGATGGAAGAAAACTACACAATGGAGGCACACACCAGAGTCGTCAGAACACCTTATCGAATGAGAAATGTCGAACCCACCAAAGGTCACATAATTACCACGATGAAGATGAATACGAAAGAAAGTCAAGCCGTAGAATGAGGAACTCGCTGAGGAAGGGCAGAAAAAATAGTGGGAACGGCAACTCGGAAGAGCCATCCGCAGATCAGTTCGCCATATTGGACAAATTAAACTGTCCTCACGATGACGAATTGGACATGAGCACAAGTGATCATGGTGTAAATCTAGATGAAGCAAAATGTGGAAGCAAGGAAAGGGGTAACTCCTGCATGAAGAGAGACACAGAAGTGAGCACCTCATCCGCGGGAAATATCTTCAATTGGGAAAAGATATCCAGAGAAAATTCCTCAATGGACAAAACGGGCTTCCCATATGGCCCCTACTCCATGCTTAAGGAAAGTAGTGGAGATATTTTCCGAAAAAGAAATGGCAAGTCGCGTAATGAAAGCAGATTCACGCAAGGTACATGTGATTTCTCAAAACATAAATCCCATAGTAGGGACGAGCGTGATGATAACATGAGCTTCATTTCGGATGCGCAAAAGGAACTCGTGCGTAGGGGTGATGAGGCAGGTAGAAGTATGTCTTTAGGTGGGGGAAGAACTCCATCCAGAAGGGACAAGTGCGGCAAAAGAGGGAACAACTCTGAGCACTCGATCGATGAGCACATAGATCAGCGACGCGACTATGACTATAGACGCGGGAGTAGGCACACCCATTCAAACGGAAAGCGCTATTACGAGGAGGGGGAGGAAGTAACCCCCCATAATGGATCATCAAGAATGGAAGATAAAAAAAAGCACCAAAATGGGGATGCTAATAAATATAAAGAAGGAAGAAAGCATAAAGGCAACTACAAATCGTGTCATTCTCATTGCGTCTCGGAATGTTCCCAAAGGAGTGGCAGCATATCTGAGGGAATCATCACCGGCTGTTCAGGCAGTCATGCTATCTACGACAAGATCACCCCCTCGGCATTGCCCAGGTCGAAGAGTTCCATTCAATATGAGGAGAAAAACAAAAGGGTTAAAAGTAGCCATCCAAATGTAGGCGATCATCATGGGGGGAGTCACCATTGGGGCAGGATGTCCCGAGATTGGCACAGTGGCCATACCGAACAGGGGGACAGACATCGCTCCTATAGCGGCGAAAGGGAGAAGAAAACGAGTAGAGGCGCTTCTAAATGGGATCCTGAAGGGTCGTCCGTGAGGGAGAGGAATAGACGCGACGAATATGTTTACGTGAGGGAAGATGGCATCAGGGAAGATGTCATCATCTCAGATGGCATAAGCGCACAACCTGCTGCTAATCAATTATGTGGAAAGAACTCAAAGCTAGAAAGCATCCCCACCGCGCGAAGCAGCCAGGAAGGCACACGCGAAAGAAGACATTCACATTGTAGTAATGCATCCCTCTGTATTGACAACTGTAGAGAAGAAGAGGTTAACCCCCCTCAACGATATGGCAACAGGAATGAGAAACCTAGTGAGATGGAAAAGAAACCAACCATCCAGGAAAAGCAAAATAGTGTGGCACACAACTGGGTGCGTAACGAAGGAATGAGCTGCCCTCCTGAAAGAGAGACGATTTTATGCAATAGTGAAAAGGAAGAAATAACCAAGGGAGGCTTCCCCAGCAAAACGAATGAATACCCTCCAAACGTCGACATAGGAAAAGATAACGAGGTGCTTTCTCCGCGAAGGGCTTCTCCACTGATGAGTGGTACGAAGGAACCCAAAACAGGAGAATGTACACAAGGAAATGTAACTGAACAGATGGACAAGTCGAAATTAACCCCAATGATAAGCCCGCTCCAGTTCAATATGGTGGGAAGCACAAATGCTGTGGAGAGACCAATCCATATGGAAAATCCCCACCCCAATTTTCCAACCGGAAATAATGGCCACCAAATTATGATAAGAAAAACGGTTAGCGGAGTGGTGGGGCTGAAAAAGGCCAATGAGTACATGAAGAGCGAGTTAAATTATTATCTATCTGGTGGTAATTTTGCCAAGGGGAGTCATCACTCCTATGAGGAAGCAAATGGAAAAGTGGAAAACTCGTCCGAAGCGTTGAGCGAGAGAAATAGTTTTAAGAATGGAATAATGAGGGTGGATGCTGACCCCCCTCAATGTTGTAGCATTGGTGCAGTAGATGCTATGAAATCGACATTAGGGGGAGACTCCCACGCAGCTAACCGTTTAGGAAATTACAAAAAGGGGGAGTCCCATGAAAGGAGTAGCGGCCATATGAGCAATATTAGCCTCTTCAAGGGGGGCCAGTATGGTTCTGCCAGTTCATCCCTTCCTAGTGACCACACAAATGTGGATGCTACGAACATCAAGGTAGGTACTGAACCCCTTAACGATCCACCTCCCAATGGTGAAGAGGGAAATTTTTCCACCATCAATGAAGCCCAAAGCAGAAGCGGAGTCTATCGACAGAATGAAAAAATAAAATTTAACAATGGCATGTATTGCTATCCCAATGTTAGCGCGAGTCAGGGTGTGAAGATGGTGAACCCGAGCGATAGTTCCAATATGAGGAATAATAACACGTTCTATGGACCCCCCAATAATGCCGTCCTCATGAGCAAGCAATATTCTTCCGTGTCTGACCCTACAAATAGGCAATTCTTACACTATCCCAGTGTAGCCCCAGACAATAAGAACTTCAACGGAATCCACTACGTGAACAGGGCGGTGACTATGCCCAATTTGGGAAACATAAATATGCACGACAATTTATTTAACGCTGGGATTGGAAACAAAATTGGTGACCCCGTTCATGTAACGAGAAGTGACATTCCCTCAGCTGTGCATGCTCAGGCGAACCAGCTACCCCCTCAGCAGATGATGCATCCAAACTTTCGCAAAGCGTTCCAAGTTCCGATTAACTATGGAAATATTTCAAATGGGTTAAATTACAATTCTTCCAACGTTAGGAGGAATGAACTGTTAATTAGTAACCGGCCTTACGATGGGGATATTTTCTACGACATCAATGGTAAGGCGTACATAGTTGGCAGAAACAGGGAGGCCAATGCCAGCTCAGTGAACACCCTCTGTAATTATGCCCCTCCCAGTTATCACCTTGCAATGGATAATGCAAATCAGAGCAATCTGAATAGGGACCAGCTCATCGGGCAAACCGGACATGCTAATTTAGCCATCCCTAATGCCATGGATGGGGGCAGTGGCAGGGGTCTAAAGAAACCTTCCGTGGTGTTTTGATCGGCGAGACGCTCATAATCATGATGGATAGAAATTTGCAATTACCCCCGGGAGAATGAGCAGGACGGAAAAGTAACCACACACATAAATCCTTAGAGATTAAATGGCTCATTACAACCATCCGGTGCAGTTCACTACTTTGTTGGATGACCCGTTCATCACGCAATTCGTGCCGCATTTCGTCCCGCAGACCCCGAACGAACTCATGTAACTATTTAAATAGAGACACATCCGAGGAACGCGTCTTGGTACACGTCATCCACTTCACTTCCCAATTTTTGTTGTTGAACCAATGGGGTTAATCCACCCTTGGTGTGAAAAATTGTTGTCCATTTGGGGGGCCCACTTCACATTTCAGGGATACTGCGGCCGTTTTGTTGCCTATGTGCCCCCCTCTTCTTTTTTGTTTTTTTTGTGTATATTCTTTCCACCTTTGATAATTATTTCTCTTTGTTCTTTTCTGGATCCCCACAGTGCGCTCCTGGCACTTCAAACACCCAGTGGTCCAAAACTTTTTTTTTTCTGCAGCTGCCGACAGTACGCATGGCATTGCCACCATTTGGTCATATCCACCTTTGTTACATTCACGTGAAAAAAAAAATTTCTTTTTTTGTAATAAGCAAATATGTTTATGTGTTCCGCACAAGGGGGAGCTACCCGTTAAATTGAATTAGTTTAACGACGAAAAAAAGGAGGCGCATGGTGCGAACAAGCAAAACGTGCACACAGGCACACATTTATATGTATATGTGTCTGCTTATACGTGGCCATACTTATGGTCATCCGCCCAGGGGAAAACAACAAAAGGGGGGAACGACGCGGCCGCCCTGAGGGGGACCGGTATTATCGTCATATCGAGAAGAAATCACCTTAGCCTCATTTCGGGACGGGGTTGAGCCACTGTCCACCTTGGCCATACGCCGACGCAACCACCTGCGCCACCTTCCTCTGCTTATGGTTCATGTACACCATATACCATGCCTTGTACCCTAAGTAGAAAATGAGTCCCATGCCAAAGGGGTTGGCCCACCACCAGTATCTGTACTGGTACCTGTGTTGGAGGAGGGAAGAAGGCAGAGAGAGACATGTCAAAGCCATATTACACTTCTCCGCATACGGGAACACATGGGGTGGGAGTGTCTTCCCAAGCACATAATGCAACAAAGTCACATAAGCAGGTGGCTTCGTCAAGTTGGTCCTTTTACAGTTCGTTTGACTACTTACACCCTCGCAACCTGCGCTATTTGATTATTGGTAAAGTGCGCGACTCCATTATACACATCTATGATTTGCTTGTTCTTGTAGTTGACCCACATTTTCTTCCATGTTTTGGGGTTTATGCCCCTACCCATCATGGCAATGTAGCCCTGGATGTGGAACCCCATCTTGTCGGTCGCTTCGGTTCTACTTGTTTCTTTTTTCCGCTCCGTTAAGTTTCCTTCTATGGATAAGCATACGATAGAGGGGTATAATGGCCAGAGATACTCCTTAACAATGTACACTCATGTGCAGGTGTATATTTACACGTATACGACTTGTAGTAGGATATCATCCGCTGATTGTTCTTTTCCCTAACCTGGGCGATCAATTTTGCTGAGAAAACCTTCCCCGCGTTTTCGCTGTTGCGCATGAGCTGTGGGGGTACAGGCTTACGTAAAATGCATTTTCCTTATCGCATGAGTGTTTTTTAAGAAAAATAAAATGAGATGAAATGTACCACTCAGCTTTTGTGATGTTAAGCTTTTCTACGGTTCAGCTTTCCCGGTTGACGCAAAATTGCGCTATGTGCTGTGATGTACACCCTCTTGGTAGATAGGAATTTTTTTTTTTTTTTTATGGAACACCTCACAGGGCGTGAAACGAAGCGGGGCACTGGCTTCATTTTCTGCTTCACTTTATTTGCCAGTAAATATATTATATCTGTCAGGACGGGAAGAGAATGAAAAACAAAAGAATAAGAAGAATGTAAAAATATAACAAGTCAGCTAAAACAGGACTGCTGCTTTTTCTTGCAATGGGCACCTTTTTTAAAGCCTTTTTCCGTTAGGATGGTATTCTCCGTCATCATTTTTGAAGAGGGACACACATAGAGAATTTATCACCCTGGCACAGGTTATCCGTTTGCCAATATGATGAAGTGCATTTTTTTTTTGATCAAAGCGGAGTTACAGTTAATATATTTTTTCTTCTTTTTTCTTTTTTATTTACAAATTTCATCCGATCTGGGGACACACACGTGGTTTCCCTCTTCGGTTAAAAAAACGATGCTTCTACCGATTAGGGGAGTCGAGCTCCGTATAAACGTCCTACCATCAACCGCCCCATACGTAGCAGGCACATGGTGAGCAGAGTGCACGTCGCGACTTTGCACAGCGGCGCGTTTCGACAGAGTTCGACGGGCCAAGGAATAATGGAAAAAACGAAAAGGACCAAATGAACGAAAATAACGAAAAAAAAACAAAAGAATGAAAAAAAAAAACAAAATAATGAAAAGAACCAAAGGAACGAAAAAATCATGTCAAGTGGGCTAATTGGGAGAACGCAAACATGGACAAATGGACGAATGGACGAATGAGAAAAATGAGGCGGCGAAAGCGCTGTGGAGGGGCAGCGACGGAACAGCGCGTGAAGGTCACTCCGGCACCTGCTGCTGCGCGCGCTTGATGGCCTCTTTCCACAGAGTAGTGTAATTTATGTTTCGCTCAATACAGTGCAGCTGCAATTTGAGCTGAGCCTTCTTTACAACAAATTCTGATCGCGACTGTATGTTATCGAACTTATTGTACTGGTAGCATAGCACGCCGAGTCCTACAACCCACGTGGCGATCGCTTCTTCGTCGTCGGAGAAAAAATCATACGTCCTTTCTCGGGTGCGCAATGTGAAGCACTTACAAGGGTGTATTCCATGTGCGTTATTGTAAAGTTCGCTTGGTTTTATTTTGTTTTTCTCGAGACTCCTCTTGTTGTGCTTTTCGATTAGCCAGTACACGGGTGTGCTCTTTAGTCCGTAATCTATGGAGGTAACGTCCTGCGCAGGAGTGAAAGATGTCCAAGATGAGCAGCTAACGGAGGAGGCATCAGCCAAGCGCATAGCAAACTGGGTAATAAACCGCTTCACCAACCTGGATGTCGATGAGCTTGCTCCGCTTGAAGCCCGCTTTCCCCGTAACATCCCTGGTCCAGGTGATAAAGCGACCGTCCATGATTTTGACGAAAACGGGTACCGGCTTGTGCGTGAAGGAGTGATATTTGCACTTGTGGAGGAGCGTGCCGGCGCTCATTTTTTTGAGCTCCTTAATTATTGGTCTGTCGTTTAATCTCCCCTGTGCAGTAGACAGGAGTAGAGCCTTTTTCTTCAAATGTTTTCTTTGCGAAATGACGGACATTAGCTTGTTTTTTAACTCGACGATGTATTTATTGGCAACTTCAACATTGTTAATGTTCGTTTCGTACATTTTCAAAATTTGGTCATCGAAAATGATTTCCATTTTTTCTTTCTGTTCAGCGTATTCCTTTTCTCTTTGCTTGAAGGTACCGACCAAGGAGTTGACCAAATTGACGTCTAGCAAACGAATGACATCGTCACATATGCTGTCATTGTCTGCTAACTTCTCCTCAATGGTGGAAGCGTTTTCCTTAAAAAAATCAGCATAATTTAAAATATTTTCCTCATTGGACTTAAAAATTCCCAGCAGTTTGTTAATAATATCTACCAAATTATCTATCTTGGGAATGAAAAAATTGTTGGTGGTATCTCCACTTTTACTCATAGTTCTGTACTTATGTTTTATGTTATCATTTTCTTCTTGCAACACTTTATTTTGATTGACCGCTTGGTCTAACTGGGTGGTTACCGCGTTTAGTTTGCATGTTAAGTCGGCATTTTCTGAGTTGGCTTTTTCGAGAGCATTTTTCAGATTGACACACTCTTCCTTCTTTTTATTTAACACAACTTCTTTATCTTCTATGTCTTTTATATACTCATAAATTTGTCCCTGTATTTCTTCATTTTTTTTTTTTAAAAGTTTCATTTCTTCTGTTAATTTTAAGCTCTCTTCACTTTTTATTTGCATAATTGCGCAGAGGTTTTCAATTTTTGTCTGTTTTTCACGATAAGCATCCACGTAGGAAATTCGATGCTCGTCCAGCTCCTGATACATGTTAAAAAGTTTGTTATATTTGGACTCCAAATTTTTTATAATTAATTCGTAGTGCTGGATGGTTAGGTTATCCCTTTCTTGTGCGCCCATCAGAGTGTATGTATTATCATGTAGGTCCTTAATTTTGTCATTGAGCAACTCTTTTTTGTGTTCCAATATATTCACCTTTTCTTCTAGCAGAGTGGCTAGTTTATTGGATTTCTTATATTTTAGTTTGGCCCCATTTGGTTTACCACCGCTGGGTATGTCTTCATTACTATTAGATTGCAGAGTCGTGGAGGAGAAATTGTCCCTCGCGTGGATTGGGGATGCAGCCGGCAAGAAGGTCTGTACGCTTTCCTTTGATGATTTGTAATGCGAAAGGTTTCTGTTATGTCTGTTTGTGGTGTGGTCCGCATTGAGGTCCTCGTTGTAGTCCTCATTGTAACTCGAATTGTGACCCGCGTGGTTCCTCTCAAATTGCACGGAAGTCAAAAATTTAGGACCAATCTTCAGATCACTTGCATTTAAAAAATAGTTGGAGCTGTTTTTTCCTTCCTTTGCTTTTACCTTCCTCGTTAATTTTATTCTCCTCTTCGGGTTAGCAGTGTGCATATTCGGAAACGTCTTATCACTATCGTGGTTCCCTTCGCTCTTTTTATTTTGCACCTCATTGGGAGCAGCTACCCCTGAGCCTTTTGCTTCTTCTCTGACTGGAATTTTTAAAAAATTTTCCTTAATATGTACACGGGGTGAGAAATTATCGTATTCTTTATTTACCCTTTTGCTAATTTTAATGTGGGACGACTTTGGTCCAAAGGAACCTTCCAAACTTTCGTCACTGGTGAGGTCTTCAAATTTGTGATTTCGATGTTTATCCCCACGGTGGTTATTCTCTTCGTACTTTTGTCCAACTGTGCATTCCTCATCTTGGTTAGCTTGTCCATAACTTGATCCGTCTCCATATGTGTCTGTTCTGCTTCTTTTGTTGTTACTTTTTCCCAAGTTGGACAGCATATTTTTATGTCTCTCCCTTGTTGGGTGTTCCTCTCCAAACACGCTGTCCCTCCCCAAAGCATGGAAACTGCTTGCGTCATATACGCTTCCCCCTATGCTAAGTTTGACTTTGTTCGCTCGGTGATTTCCATTCGCGCTGTGGTAGTCAGCATCATGATAGCCGAGGTCATCGTTTCCGAAAGCTGCACCATCTTCGCCATCATGAGCCTCGTGCGAGGACGCACTATCCGAGAATTGCTCCGCTTCCCTACCTGCATTGGCGCTCCACCTACCCCTCGTTACTTCCCTCTTACGAACCCGGGCATCGCCACCTCCCACCTCCAGGGAGTCATCACTTGAGTACTTCCTTTCCGCATCCAACTTCTCAGAAGTTAGGAAAGACGAGTTATTATTCTTTAACTTGAGGGACCACTGAATTAATTTCTCTCTCTCTTCCTTCAGCTTCAGCAGGGGGTCTACCGGGTCTTTCGATTTCTTCGATGGCTCGCTCATCCTACTTTCTTCTTCCTTTTGAATGTGGAAATAAAAGCGGCAATACAAAAGGCAACAAAAAAGGGATTATCTAATTGGAGCTACTCTGCGTCTGTGGGGAGATCCTCTCTTACGTAGTGTTGTGACAACGTGGGGGGAAAGACGGAGAGCTTGGCTATGCCGGGGTGGGCACACATAAATACAAGGCGGATTACAAAATATTAGAAAAAAAAGAAAAAAAAAGAAAAAAAAAAGGCGTGTTATCTCCCCTTTAGAGTGTTGCTCCCCTCAAAATGGCATTAACACATTTGAACATTTTTCCACTCGGGGGCACAACCCATGCACATGCCGAGCGTACATTCGCAGAGTACCAGTAGGTCTCTACTTCACACCCTGGCGAAGCCACTCGCCATTTAACCTTACACACAAATATGCTGCGGACGTGCAAAACAAAAGCGTGTTAAAAATAAAGAAAAATTTCGTCTAATTTTGTTAAAGTGGGAAGGAAAAAAAGGTAAAAAAGGGAAGGGGGGAAATAAAATGGCAAAATGATACACTGATGAGATGGACGAGACGGGACAAAGTCACTAAAATAGTACAAAGAAACAAAACAGCAAAACAAGGCAGCAAAAGGATACAACAAAACGATGCAACAAAAAAATGCAATAAAAAAATGCAACAAAACAATGGAACAAAAAAATGCAACAAAACAATGCAACAAAACAACACGTGCGGAAAGGGTCTCTTATTAAATACGTGCTATTCCTACTAGGCATATTTTTTCTCATTTTTTTTCTTCCAATTCCATTTCGCTTTGAAATGGTGTTAAGTGTGCAGTGAATTTTCTTTTTTTTTAAAGAAATAATCCAAAAAGGAAATTAAAAAAAAAATTATTACACATGTTTAGCACCCCGCCCCGGAGCGTTTCATGAGACCATTTTATTTTGCCAAAGGAAACGGGGAAAAAAAAAGTGCGAACAGGTTTCGCGCTCCCGAAGGTGGTGCTGTTTTGTCCGTCTTGCTTAATATACTGGGCAGGGAAAAAGCCAGGTAACAGCACGTATTATGCCCTTTTTGTGTACCCGTTTGGATACCCATTTTGCAACCTGCGTGCGTACCCCCTCGCAGCCGCTTTATTCGGGGAACGTCACATGGGGACGGTTTTCCTTCGGCGTAGGTGTTGGGCCTACCAACTGGCCCTTGTGCACTCCGCGGGGGAAGAAAAAGGAGCCAAAGAAGAGGCACAAGAAAAGCCACAATTAAATGCTACAAAGGGGAAAAAGCTGAATTGGAAGCTGAAGCAGAATGGAGCAGACTGTCAAAGCGGTATCGCCATTTAGAGCATTCCATCCACGAAACGAAAACAATTGCAGGAAGAGGAACAAATCACTGGAAAAGAAGAAGAGCTGAATTTAGTGATTATTGGAGGAATAATGCTGGGATTTTTTTTTCTTTTCTTTTCTATTCCTCGGATGACTAGCCAAAATTAAAAGAAAAAAAAATGAAAAATGAAATAAGGAAAATTGAACATGACTATGGCATTGAATACGTTTCAGAGCGAAGAGAAAAGAAAAGGGAAGTTCTCTTGGCGATACTAACTTTGACCGCGTACTACCTATATTGTCTCTACTCGGTATGAAAATGTGTGCACACGGATGTGTATACAGATGAGCTCCTGATGAGGGGACAATTCGTATGCTTCCACATATGTAGACACACGCGCCGCACGTACCCGTGTTCAGAGGTTAAAAGCGTCGCGAAGTTGAAGAAGAAATGAGAAACAAAACAAGGATGGGGTGGGGGAATCAACAGAGGGGTGCACGTCATGGGAGGGACCCCCCAAAAACGCAGTGGCGAAAAGGCGAAAAAGTGGAGAGTCGTTGACAACTTTGTTGTTGCATTTGCACAACATCGGCGCAACTCAGCACACCCATGCATGCTCCACCTTTTCCGGGCGTTACGCCCCTACCAGGGATGCAAGAAGGGCTATGTTTTTCTGGACGAATTTCAAATTTTCCTGTTTCTTCTGTACATCTCGTTGATCATAATATACCTGAATAATCACCACATTGGTTAATCTGCTAAGAGGAAAAAATAGTTTACACAAAGATGGTTGCCAGAATGGGTACATGTCTGTGTCACATCTGCCCGCATGACGTACTATGAAAGTTTTTAATTTTTCTTTTTTTTTTCACCCCCTACTGCTCAACAGAAAGGCTATTCCTTGTGAGCAACATTGGAATACAAATTGAGAGGAAAAGCTGGTTTCGACATCGGTTAAAATTTATTTGCATAAGTGACATAAAAAGCATTTTTATTAACGAGGTAGGAGTTTTTCTAAAAAGAAAATGTATGCAACGTGACTTCCTCATTGTAATTACCCTGCGTCCATTTCTTTTTTTTATTCATATGTCTTCCCTGTTCTCCGACCCTTTTTTTTTTTTTTTTTTTTTTAAAGGCCATCTACATATTCGAGATCTGTCCCTATTTGTGCATCACGTTGCAGAACAATAAGCTCATCGTCCTGTTCGAGGTGGGAGGGGAGCGGCAATGAGAGAGGCAATTGAGCTGCCTATCGGACTGCCTGCCCCATTCTGCATACACGATAGGCCGGACCGATAAGTATAAGTGCATACAGACGTTCAATCTAGTAACAGCGTACACATGTGCGCGTGTCTACCTCTTCTCCCCAGCTGAGACATTTCTGTTTCCCCTTTGGCAGAACTTCAACTTAGGAATGAAAAGCCTTGTGAATATATACAGGGACGTGAAACGAGTAATCGTTCCTAGAGAGAAGGAAGACTTTATAGATCTCAAAGCTGAGGAAGTCAAAGAACAGGAAAAAGACGGAAGTAGGGAAGAACAAAATTGTACAGTCCCAAATGAGGTGTGCTCAACAAATAATCCCTCCTCGAGCGAAGAGGAAAATATTTTCAAGCTCTTGAATTTTAATTCGTGCGAAAATTACAAAATGAATGATGACGTTAGGGAAAGACGAAAAATAAAAACATACGACATATACATAAATAAAAAATTAGCACTGGACATAATGAATAGTTGACTGTCTTTTTTTTTTCCATCATTGCTAGTTCTTTCTCAGCAAGGTTGAATTGTAATATTTTTTCTTTTCTCTTAATTTCGCTCCCCTTTTTAACTTCTTTTTTTTTTTTTTTTCTCGCTGAGGTGGCGTTTATTTTCATCGATGATCATTTCTCGCCGTTGCGAGAGTGTCACTTTGTTTTTTTTTTTCGAAAATTTCCAACTTTTCCAACTTTGCTTGACTTTGGCTAACTTTGCCAAATTTTGCCAACCTTGCTTACATTTTTTCTCCCTCTTAAAAGAAAAAACACGCAAAGGACTGGGAGGCAAGTGACTTCGTGCGTCTGTGCGGCTAACACTTTCGCCTCTCGCAAGGGGATGCTACACTGTCCTTCGAAAAGGATTATATATGTGCAAGCCTATCCTCATGTTTACACTTATCTGCAAACGAGCATACCGATTGCTATACATACCGACAAAATGGGCGATTACATAAGGAAAATCCCCGTCTATAACGATTACGAGAAAAAGAAAGATCTGTTAAAATATTCCTTTTTAAAAGATGGAGAGGAGGAACAAAGAGACGTCCAAAAAAAGCAAACGACGGAGGAGGTCCAATTTATTAGTAACTATCATAAAGGGGAAGAAGAAGAACAACAACAGAAGGATGTCTTTAGAAAAGGTGTAAAAATAGGGGACAGAATAACACACATTTTGCTTCTTCTACACTCTGTTTTCAGTAAAGAAAAGGGACAACATGAGAGATATTTTGACCCACCGCCAGGATTTAAGTTCGTCCATCGTTCACTCATGAAAATGAATAAGCATGTGGATGTGTGCATGTTCAAATGCGCAACAGAGCAAATTCGCACGTCTGCATAGCTCTCCCCATGATTGTTCGTCGCTCATTGTGGTAATTCACCCGTCAAGGCAACCGGACCCAAGGGGACGTGCTGACTGAGAGGAAGGTACCTTGACTATGGCCACGATGTGTGTGGACAAGGCAGAGACCACGAGTAGGGGCCCACCAGACTGTAAGGGAGAAATCTACATAGGTATATATATGCCTCTGTACACACACATTCCCCCTTTTTTGTTAGAATAAAGTGAAGGAAGAAAACAGCGAGAGGTACTACGCCTACGAGAAGAAGTTCCCCTTCCTCATCGACACGAGTGTGAAAAAACCAGATAAAACGAGAAGCATACAAGATGTGCTAAATAACGTCTATGGTGAGGCAGTCACTAGGTTCGAAGTGCAAGTATACACATTCGTGTAGGGATGTATGGGTACACATAAGAACATACAGTCGTTACTACCCCCCCACACACATCTGCATTACCTGTCCACGCACATAGAACAGGATGATGCCGAGAAAATTCGATTATCCGATGACATTAAAACCAAAGTGATGTTGCTTGAAAGGAGGAAGGAACTGTTTCTTCAGGAGTTAGGTATGTCTGCTCGAAAAGGACACTATTGCATATATTTTTGTGTAAGATCCTACGTGAGTAGCGTACCGTTAGCTGCTCCTTTTAAAAGGGAATTGAGTGGAGAGGCCCAGGTTTCCCCACGGGCGAAGCCGAATATAGTATGTATATATGTAAATGTACATGAGTCGATCTGTATGCCCCTACGGGCCCCCTTTTCAACACCTTTCCCCCTCAGGTGGTGGCGAGCCTGTGGACGTCCATGCGGAGCTGTTTTTAGACCCACAAAAGGATTACACGTACGCCAGAAGTGGGCACACAGATGTCTGCTCGCGGGGCGGGGGGTATATCCTTGAGTGTATCCCCTTAAATGAAAAAAAAAAAAAAAAAAAAAAGACGTAACATGACTACGCGTGACATGTCATATCCTACCATGCAACCGCGCGGGACAACGCACTCTTCCCCTTTCAGCGACGCAGTAAAGAATAAAAACAAGATGTTGACTCTGAAGAATTACGGGTTAGGTCAGTCCCCTTCGGATTTTGTTTTTTCCTACCCGCAAATTAAAGCCAGTAAGTATAGACCTCCCTATTTAAGCGGCATAGAGCTGGTCTCTATGTACGTACATATATGATGATAACGGGGAAACACCAGGCCCAGGCCCCAAACAAAACGGGGGCAAGGAAAATTACTACACATGGGCAGATGATGTATATTGACTGTTGCACCACATCAGTAGTTCCGGCTGCATCTGGAACGTGACATTTCTTTTTTTTTTTTGTGACCCCAAAGCAGAAGGAAGAGGTGGATATGCCACCGAAATGGTGAAGTCGAACATATTGAAAAACAAAAACGAGGGAATCACAAAAAGGGTAAGTGTGGCGACAAAAATGTCTACCTTCTTTTTTTGTGTCTCCTCCGATTTTACTCGTACATCATTTTTTTTTTTTCACCCTAATGCAGTTAAACGTGTACAATGTAGAAGGTAAAGGGCAATTTTTGCGACTGAAAATGGGTAAATAGATAAAAAAAAAAAAAAAAAAAAAAAGAAAATTGCAACGTAATAACATATCTCTATTTTTTTCACCCTGAAGATTTATACACAGGAAAAAATCACGAAATGAGGTTAGCAGATTATTCATTTGATGATACAATTTTTTTTTTTTTTTTTCACTTATGCCGACGTTGGCGTGATGAACTTTACAACACTGTCTTTTCTTTTTCTTACGCTGTTCAGGGAACAGGCGGGTTCGCACGGAGGAAACATAACAACGAAGAGCAGTGCATATGACTGTTATATATGTATACAAATGTACACAAAAGTACACATTATGCCTGCACCCACACACAATGGATTGTCGTTTCCTCCCTCTCGAGAAAGTTTTCTTGATGAAAAACAGATTGAGATATATTAAACACACCCAAAATAGCCACTTCGTCGAGAGTTATCTGAACGTAATTCCATCCGCGTGAGAGAGGGGCATCAACCTGAGGCTGTGCATTTAACTTCCCAGTTGGCTTCACTTATGGCTGCGCATTTAACTACCCAGTTGGCTTCGCACCTGACATGACCTCTTCCCCCCTCGTTGTTTCACCAAAGGAACGCCCGCGAATTGTTCTGAGGTATAAAGGATTTCAAAAAAGGCTATAAGATTGGAAGAAAAAAATTTATATGGATACATAAATAAATACATGCACATATATATAAAGATAAAAAGTTCGGAGTGGCTTCCAAATGAGCACCTCGCCAAACGAGAAGACGATCTGGAGTGCATCCATTTAAGAAATGCAGGGCCAAGTTAACATAAAAGAAAAAAAGGAGAACAAATTGAGCTACCTTTTCTTTTGCCGCAAGGTTGAAAGGTAGTTTGGGCGAGAAGGGCAGCTCGGTGAAGCGGCGTGGTGGATGCGTCTAGGGCCAAGTTAAATGTGGCACAGATGGGGGAAAAAAAAAAAAAAAACAAAGACCACCTAAATTAAATCACTAGGTGGAGGTTAACAGTTCTCAAAGTGTACACACAGATATTATATTTTCACATTTGTCTTTTTTTTAAATGTCACTTGTGGAGGTCGGATGAGCCGCGACCATTCCATTCGTTTCGTCGCTGCACCGCTGTACCCCCCGCTAGATGGTCCAGAAGAGCCTCAAAAGGCCAAAAAGGTATTGAAAAATCTCATTCGACGATAGCTTGGACTGACCGAACATCCGGTCAACAAAGAGGTATCCAACTTCCTCAATTTTCTTGCCCAACTTATTGGCCCGTACGATAACCTCCATTTGGAATACATAGCCACGTTCCTGCACCGACTGGATTACTTCCTTAAGCACGTCTGTTCTGTACAGCCTAAACGAACCAGTCAAATCGGTTAAGTTAGTAAATAAAAGAAACTGCGAAAGGAAATTCGCCACTCGACTAATTATAACTCTTTTGTAACTCCACCCTGAGATTCCCCCTTGTTTATTATACCTAGTCCCTGTGACGATGTCACAATTGGTCTCTTTCTGTTTCGTTATGAAGTCATATATGTACTTAGGATGGTGTGACAGATCAGCATCCATAATGATTACGAAATTGCCTGACACGATTTTTAGAGCATCCATGTAAGCAGAACCTAACCCCAGTTTTTTCTTCCTTTCTATGAGTACTAATTTTTCTTCTTCAAATATGGATTGCAATTTTTTGAACACGTCAGCTGTCTTGTCTTCACTGTTGTCATCCACTACGATTATTTCAAAGTTGATGTTTTTTTTTTTCAGTTCCTTTATAATCATATATATGACGTATGGCAAATTGTCTTTCTCGTTGTAGGTTGGCAGGATGATGGAGTATTTCTGAGCGATCGTCATGCTTATGTGGGTGCACAGAAGTGGAAGCATGAGGAACCACATGAGGGGCCACAGGGGGAGGCACACGTATTTCAGCATGTTCCGTGGGGGCGATGGTGGCAATGAGACGGTTCTTTTATCCTTGTGAGATGGAGCGAGTAGGTGTACCTATTTGCACACTCGTGGTTCCCCGGTTGGTTGAGCATCCTCTAGCGTAGCGTCACTTGAGGGGCATGCTGCACAAAAGGTGGAGAGGTTCTTCAGTACTCGCGCGAGGAGCCCCTAAGCTTTTGTTCTTCACAAAGCAGAGTTGGCAATCCCAAACAAAGTGATATGCCTTTTTCCCTTTTAATCATGGGGGAAGAAATTTACACTGTGTGTATTTTCATTGCCTCCATCACCCTTTCTACTGGAGCTTCCTTTCCCCGTGCTTCCGAGGAGATGGGGAAATTCGTTAAGCCATAATCGAGCGGTAAAAATAGAAAATGTTTTTTTTCCCGAAATAACACATTTGATAAACGATTCTGCCTTCCGCACTTGTGCAGCTTTGTTCATCTTGCGGCGCTCTTCATTTTGGAGCAAATTTTTTGGCGCTTCCCATTTGGCTGCATTGCGCTACTGTGCAGGTGGCTCCCACTCCACGCTTGGCCGGAGTGCTCTGTAACGTTTGGCTAAGATCCTTCGTCTGTTTAGTTTCGTTGAATTGGGCCCCTCAGAATCTGCTCTAAGCTGCTTATTCGGTTTTGCTACGCCAGCTTTGTTAACATTTTGGAAGAGCATTAGAGGGAAAATAATTCGCCCAAGGCTCATGCCAATAACCCCAGCAGAAGAGAACCAATTTGTTCATCCCATAAATGTGTAGAGTAATCTCTTGACTGTTTTTTTTTTTTTCCTTTTGTGGATGGGTGGCCGTTTCAACGGTTGTCAAGAGGGAGGTGAAGTTCCTCAGTGGAGACATTTCCCCCAGGGAATCAAGCAACTGTAGTATCGCCCCGCGGTAGGAGATTACTCACTCGGGCTGTAGGATCGCACCCGGTTGGAGGTTACTTACGCGGATTGGAGGGTCGCCCCGCGGTGGAGGACTACCTACGCTGACGGCAGCCAGTGTACGCCTTTGGTGCCAACATGGATGGAGGAGAGAACGAAGCGCGCATCAGCTACCATGAGTACAAAAAGAGGCTGAAGAAACTCACGGAGGAAATAAAAAAGGAAAAGAAAAAAAAGACGATTAACAAAAATAAGAATAACGACAATTTGATTAAACTGGAAGAGGAAATGAGCAAGCTTAACGCTATGTACACTCTGGGCAATGCGGACCAGGGAAGCGAAATGAATAATCCGGAAAAGCAAAAAGATCGCGATAAAGAGGCGAACACACATGAAGGCATGAACGATGGTGTAGTTACCACGGAGTTATACTCATACAATGCAGTCTCGAAAAAGGCATTAAGAAATATAAAAAGGACACAGAGAAAAGAGATGGAGGTTGAAAGGATTGAGCAGTCGAGAAGCAAAATAGGAGAGCTTGAATATGAGAAATTGACTGAATATTTAAAACAAGTAAATAAGACTATCCATCCCATCGCTCCTGATGGGAATTGTCTGTACGAATCGATTTTACACCAACTGAGACAGACAGTAAGCGGCTGTAAATATCACGAAGAAGACTTTTTGAATCTCCTACGTGAGGAACGATTTTCTCTGGATAATGTAAATTTGAGAGACTACCAAAACGGGGGTCTCTTTGACTTTGGCATTTTCTCCGATTTCGACCCGCAGGGGTTGAGCAGTGACATTATGCGCTTTCTCGCTGCTGTGTATATTTTGCAGAACGAGGACCAGTTTGTTCACTTTGTGTATGCGACTGAGGAGGACGAGCCGGGTGCAGGTGAGTTCAAAAGGGTTGGATTGAGAGGTGGCGAAGGGGTGTAATAATCCTGTGTGATTCCAAGCGTGTCTTCGAGTGCTACTTCGAGTGTGCCGTACCAAGGGGCCCTTTCCAAATGACCGCCCAAGTTGAAGAAAGCGAGCCTCCACTCCACTTCTCTCGAGTACACTTATCGCCGAGTATATTTCTGACCGTGTACACTTTATCACGGCATAAGCTTCTCCCCACTTCCGCAGACACCTACTTCTCTTATTGTGAGGCTATTATCAAGGGGGTTTACGGGTGAGTGAAGAGAAAGAAAACAGTGTGTAGACCGCTCCCATGCACACGCTCCTGTGTAAGGGAAGCACACGTGTGTACAAAGTACCCATTCTTCTCTGAGGAGATTCACAGAGCGAGGCATTCATATGTACAGGCTTTTTCCATCGTCGCGCTGCTCCCCTTTGCTGTGATGAAGCCATTCCATGTGCACCCCCGTGTACTGTGTTTTCCACACCCAAATTATGTGGAGCTCCTATTTGACAGACTGGACGAAAGAAAACAATCCATTTAGTTGCCACCTAACACAGGTGGATACTTCTTTTTGCTTCCCCATCCCGCATTTCATTTCCACTCCCCTCTTCTCAGGAGCGAAATAGAAATCAATGCCCTCTCGAGAATTTTGAAGAAGAAAATTACCGTCTATGACGTAAATATGAACATTTCGTATGTAAGTACACGCGGGCGAAAAGGACTCGCGAAAAATAAAATAGAATAAAACTCACACGTGTGTATACATATGCGTCTATATATATTTGCACTCTTTTCGTGGCTGCCCCACGGCGGGATCCCCCTTTTGCTTTCCAGGGAGAGGAGCATGAAACTGAGCTGTTCATATGCTTCCACCATAAGCTGTATGCATTAGGTAAGCGCGGGAAAAAGGGAGATATCCCCCGTTGAGAGATCTGAGGTGGGGAAAATATGCCCCTTTTTGAGCGCAAAGGGGGAAGGACTCCTTGCAATTTTCATTAATCCTACATTCGTAACATTTTACATTCCTACTTCCCATGTCTGCACGTTTCTTCTCCCGTAGGGAAGCACTACAATTCCGTCGTTGACATGTGAGAGTGTGACGTACAAACCACACCAAGTGACGACTTTGCCAAGGAGGTCCGCACCTGCGCAATTGTGGAGAGAAGTGTGATTAGTACACCCCATCCACCGCGCACCTTTATGATAATCTTCATTTGAATCGTTTCGTACCATTCTTTTTTCAAAGAACAGAAAAAAAAAAAAAAAAAAAAAAAAAAAAAACAGCTGCAATACAACTACGTGCAGACACGATACACGGGCACAGATAAGTAAAGGGGGGTGGAAATACCCCAAAATAAAACAGTTGTTTTTTAATTAAAACGTTTTGACAAATGTACAGGGGAAATATCATATGGCAATTATTTCAACAAAAAAAAAAAAAATAGAAAAATTTAATAATGTATTCATTTTTTTTAAAAAAAATTACGTGCAAATATCGGTACATATATGTATGTACACGATGCATGCATACACATGTACGAGATGGGCAAATTGGAAAAAAAAAAAAAGTCCATTGGGAAGGTGTATTTTTTTTACATATTATACACAAATGTTGTTACAAATGGGGGTAGAGGCAGCCCGGTGGTAGGTACCCAGGTGAGGGGAAGAAACTACAGAGCGAAAAGAAAGGGGGCGCCAAAAAAGGGGTGAAAAACGAGGTTGTGAAACTGCACCACGAATCCAGGACTCAAACCCAAGCCGCAAAACGCTACGAAGGCGCGGGGACACATTAGAACCATTTTTTACACCCTTGGTAGGCATACAGACATTCATGCCGCACAGGGAGGGACACGGATTTTAAAGAAACGGAGGAGTAAAGAAATTATCTCGATTGAATCAAATTATCTATAATCCTCCCCATAGTATTCTTCATCGTCTTTGTCGTCTTCTTCATAATCTTCCTCCTCTTCTTCTTCCTCCTCTTCTTCTTCATCATGTCCTTCTTCCTCCTCTACTTCGTCTAATTCTTCTTCTTCATCATCTTCATCATCCTCATCATCCTCCTCGTCCTCCTCATCATCGTCATCTTCTTCTTCCCCCTCCTCCAGTTCCTTCTTCAATGCGTTCCTTGTCCTTTCGTGTGGGTAACTGGATTCTATTATATTGTTTTTATTTATTTCACAGTAGTATCTATTTTTCTCATTCATGTGGTAGTTGTACTTTCTGTCATCGAGGGAAATTTCGACGGAGCGCTTGATGTAGCTTTGGAGTAGTTCCGAGGAGGGGTACGGCGAATCTGCCCGAGGGAGGGGGGCGAAGTGGGCAGCATAGAAACGCACCGAATATATGTGCAGAGTCGGTTAAGCGACAGCACAAAGTGGCTTTTACCCTGTTGTACTTATGACGCGACATTGTACGAATTCGCACAGGCGTCTTTATTTGCGTCCGTGCCGAGGCGTACCTGATATTTGGCCGCGTTTATCCCGGGGCCTCCACTTGTTCTCATATTTGCGAATGGGGGGGTCGCATATTTCTTCTCATGGGAAGGGGGCATCAGGACAGTATGTGTCGGGATGAAAAAGCGGAGTTATCGCGTGGCGCATGCAAAATGGGGGCACAAATAAATGCACTTTCGCATGCATGCAAAATGGGTAACGCCAAGTTGCCACTTTATTTGTAGCTTACCTAAAAAATTAAAGTCAGCACTTTTTAGGAGTTCTATAGCCCTCTTAGGGTTGTAATCAACGCGGTGTAAAATCTTGAAGGCGTATTCGGGCGTAAATGGGTGCCATCCCAGTTGACACTTCCAATTTTTCGCTAACTCTTTTATAAAAATGGCTAGTTCGTAATCGTTTTTAATGACCAGTTCGTACTGTCCCTCACTGAGGTAACTCTCTTTCATTCGTTCCAGTAGGTAAGGCGAGTAAACGAGCTCCGATTTGTTGGCCTCTGCGAAGGGGTTACAAGGGGTGCAATTTCGACGAGGGATGATTATATCAGTGGAAACGTCTCTGTATCGACATTGGCATATAGAAGTGTGAAGCACATGGACGTGCAACTCGACATACCATCGTATTTCTCTGAATGGCTATTTAAGAAAAACGTGGAGACATTCGACACT